TCTATCCCAGCTGACTCAGGGTGAAGGCAGGGGACACCCTGGACAGGCCACCAGTCTATCACAGGGCTACACTTAGAGACAGACAACCAAGCACACTCACATTCACATCTACGGACAATTTAGAATCACCAATGAACCTCAATATGTTTTTGGACTGTGGGAGGAAGCCACGCTGCACGGGGAGAACATGTAAACACTACAATGACGTCTTCTTTGATTAATCCAATTCCATCTATGGTTGATGATTTAACTCCAAAAAATTCATGTTTGCATATCAGCACAGAATTTTTTTTCTCCATTAACATAGAATTGAATAGAATAGAACTTTATTGATCCCTTTGGCGGAAACCTCAGGGAAATTGTTAACATGATCCCTTTGTGCCTTCAGATGGCTGGCATATAACTCTACCACTGCCTCCTTTACAATGTGCGGATGTACAAATTCACAACTCAGTGCTCACAGAAGCTGGAGCACACCAGCTCACCTATGACTCTTGACAGGATTGGAACCCTGGAAGTCACAACCGATGTCTTTGAGACTCTCAAGGGGGAAATGCTCAGCCACAGTGCTGACTTCCTGTTTAACTCATTGTGGGTCTTCTAGAACATGAAAAGCACCGTATGGACATGTTAGCAAGGTTTGAATATATCAAAATTAAGAAAAGAAGATGATTTCAATGTGCCAAGTCCACAAAGCAGACCTCTGGGTAGCTGCTTGCTCTTAGCTGGGTCCCTGGTCGCAGCTGACTTTGCAGTGTGTTTGTCAAGGTTTTAATTTAGGAAATCCACTTCTTATACCAACTGCACCAAATTAAACTTTTACAATAAACGCTTGTGCAAAGATGAATACATATATCTATTTGTGTGTGTGTGTGTGTGTGTGTGTGTTTTCAGAGGCATTTAAAAGGTCCAGTTCGCTCATATTACAAGAAAAGCACTTTTTATTATTATTTTTCTGCGATTTTTTATTTTTATTTTTTTTAACTAGACTACACTGACTGCACCTGAATGCTTTCTATGTAGACACAGACTCCCTGTTAAAAAAGTTTATTTCCAAACATGGTGAGCTGTTGCTTTATATGAGGAATACGAGAAGTCCAAGAATCCACTGTAAAATCTTTTCTTGACTGACAGTCTGTTTGACTGCCTGGAAAACCTGCTTTTCTGCCGTAATGGACTGCTTGGCCAAGTGGGTGGCTATTTGTCTGACCAAACTAGCTGCCTGTCTGAATGATGGAGTAATTTCTCACAAACTTGAACGCTCGAGCAAGCCTTTAATCGACTGGCATGATGGCTGAGTGACTGGATGGCAGTTTCTTGACTGACAGGCTCGCTAACTGACCGGAGCAGTTCAGAGGAGTCTGGTGCCAATGGACGCCTCTGCAACAGGGTCCTGTGAATTTTAACAGCGCTGCGATGCTTGACTCTTTTCTCTAGGAAACCTGGCCTAAACCCAGCTTTTTTTTTCTTTTTTTTTTAAATGTCGGGTACAGTTTCTTAATGTGATGTACATTGGGCAAGAGGTCACGTCCACTTCAAGAAAGCTCATGTAATTGTTAGCCTTTTTAGTTCAGGCTGTGTTTGTCTATTTGAGTATAATCTCCTTGTCAGGAACTGCTCCACCCAGTCTACAGATATCATTTTAAAATTTCGCCTGTGATATTGAGTGTTTTTCTTATATAATTTGTGCGTCTTCATTTACACGTGTGCACTCCTTTGTGTGTTTCAGCTGGAGCCTCGACACATCTGTGCCAGCCCAGGGGAAGGAGCGGAAGTGCATCCTGTGAAGTAGAGCGATAAAGATCAATAAAACACAAAGTTGGTCTTTGTTTGTGTGCCCGCTGGCACAGCGAGGGGGCTTAAGCACTTTGACATCAGTTCACTCACAGGACTGAGATCAAACTCCAGAAAACAGAGATGATACAGAGAACCGCAGGAACATGAGTGAAAAGTGAAGCCTTTAAGACAGAGTCCAGGTCGGGCCAGTGTTGTTACAACTGATTTTTTCCTAAATTAACTTTGACACTATGACATTTTCTATGACTTTTTTATTCCTAGAATGCAAAATGTTGCGAATCTCAAACCCAAACTCTGCACTCTTGAACTAAAAAGGATTGTTTTAGGTATTTAAGCCCACCACGTTTTACTTGAAAAAACTACATCCCATGTCAGACTGTGAGCAGTTTATGTAGTTCTTGCACTTTACTTGAAGCATGCAAAGCCAACTGGTAGATAAGATCTCTTCCCTGGACCTGAAACAAGCAACTTTCCCTTCCTCTATGTTCCCCTCGGTTCCTGGAAACACCCACAGCTTTCTAGAAAGACATTTCTCCTGGAAGTTTGATCCGCAGCTGAATTTGAGATGTTGAAATGTTAATGCCCAGATTCCGCAGGCTATCTGGAAGCTGCGGGCGCTGATATTAAAATAGTGTGGCCACTCAGCCATATGTCTACAACCATATGTCCGCAAAAACTGAAAACAAGTGTAATGCAATACAAAATAAACTGTGGAGCAAATTCATGCTTTTAACTTGGGGTTAGCAGAGTTGAACCGCTGCTGCAGCTGAATCATTTGTGACTTTAATCCTGAGCAGAAATATACAGGTTGTTGGCTTTATAGCACAGAGTCTTTAATATAGTAACAAATAACACAATAAATAAATACACATTTCAGTTTTAAGTATTTTAATTGTGATTCCGCCATGCACATACCTGGCCAGCCAGGTTCCAATTATACAAACAAAAGCTGGGAAATGCAGTATAACATAAAAAATACATATATATGTTACACACACAATATTTACAAACTCATGTATATTCTGGCATTATGGTGGAATTGGTCCTTTATAAAAAATAAAAGCTCGAGTGGCACATATATGTTTCGCATGCAGAAGCTGTATCACAATCTATTGTTTATTGCTTGTTGGGTCTGCAAAATGTGTTAGAAATGTAAATGAAAGAGGCAACAGTAGCAAGCATTTCAAGCACGTTTTCAATATTATTTACAGTATTATGTACAAAAATATACAATCTGCATTTTGCCTGCCTGCATTATTGCTATACTGTATATTACCAGAGATAGAATACATGGAGGCCCTAACCAGACTGAAGAAAAAGACAATGCCAGTGTCGAGTGGCAAAATAAGACTTATTGTGCCCTTTATATATCAAGGCAAACAGAATACTTTAGGTAGGGCAGCTGGGATTTCCTAAATTTAATCAAATGTTGTAGTTGTCTTACCTTAACTAGAGTTTATTTGTGATAAACATGATTTTTTGACCGCCTTAATCACCCTATAGTGCGTATAATGATCGTAAAAAGAGGTGGCACATCAGAGTGGCAATTTAATGCTACTGCTGCTGCATTAGTGCTACATTTATCTAAAATATACATATATTTTATTATGTACTGGTTAAACTGAAATGGAACCCTGCAACGTGTGCGATGAACTGCACAGAGGTTTGTGGATCGGAATCGAGAGAAAAATAAGCTGGCTGTAAAAAAAAAAAAGATGGACGTAGCCTGCAGGACTGAAAAGTGAAGTCAACGCCGAAGTGCCTTAAAACTGCATTCTTCTAACAGCCAGCAGGGGGCGACTCCTCCGGTGCAACAAAAGTTGAATTGTACAAGGTCAATAAGAAAATGACCCTAATTCTCCCTTGGCTTATTTCCTCAGTAAACATCCTAATGCGTTTATGGTCTCAGTCACTAATTTCAAGACTTCAAAGCAGATCCACCCTTTGCTTATTACGTCCGGTTTCAACAGAGCATGACAGCTACGGCCAAGTTCCAAACTCATGGCTTCAACGCAGGAACCCAAACCAATGGGTGACGTCATGGTTGCTATGTCCCTCTTTTACATGCATTTTATGAAATTAAACCAGATTATCAATAAAACCTTGAGGTCGAAAGAAAAACGAACAAAACTTTTTTTTATCTATGAGGGAAAAATGGACAGAAGTCTTCAGGAATCATTTTCAGTGTTTCATGTCAACTGGTATGGTTCATGTTTCATTCTGTCTGAAGATTATGAAAAAAGCAGAAACAGCAGATCAGTCATGTGAGTTAAATGTACTCTCCATTGGAGCTTATTCAGAAAAGGTATTTCCATTTCCTGTGAAACTCTTTTTCGAAAACCCACCTTAACTGAAGTTTACAAACTACATTTATGAGGTTTTGAAGTTTCTGTTGTTTGGATACTTGAGGGGGGAAAAAAATGATTACCATACTGAAGACATTAAAACAATGTTAAAGGTAAATAATAAAATCTGCTGTTGGAGAAAAAGTGCATTTACTTCTTTATTTTATTCTTCTCTTCAGTCATCCAATTTATTTGATTAATATTTTTGTGTTTGTTTGTTCAGTTTGCTTCTCCATATACACCAGACATCTGTTTTGGCCAAGTCGTACGGGAAACTTCTGACCACCAATAGTATGATTAAATAAGAGCACATTGTTTAAGACGATATTATGACTCAGTATCTAACTTTGGTGCCAATGTAGAGGCTAAATTGCCGTGTTGTTTTCCCTGGCGTACGTAGACATGATGTATACCACATCTTGAATTACTCTGCAAAAAACTCTGATATTAGACTTTTACCTTTAGGTTCTAAAATTACAAGAGGCGGTTGACATTGGTGCTAAATTTAGTGGCGTATATGCAACTTTGAGTGTTAAGAAAACATGATGTCATGTCTGCCAAAGATGCATGGCAACAGTCAGCTCTCAAATTTAGGGAAAGATGTAAGGCAAAAGACATCCTAATTCATCATTAACCAAACATCATTTGCTGCTCTATTATTGGACAGTGATTCGCTCATGACCAAAGATAGAGAAGCCTTGAATAGAGCCATGTTACACTTTTAGTGTCACGAGCAGAAACGCTGATTTATTGACTGTAGGAGCGAACGTAATTATAGGTTGTAAGTTCTTAATGAGTGGGTTTGCTGGATATGAAGTGGCCATGTTTGATGGTACTTTGTCCGTTGAGAGTGGTTTTTCAGATGACTGCAAACACTCTGAAGGCTTTTCCTCCTGTGGGGTTCAGTAGGCTGGAAGAAAAGAGCAGGAGAGTCAGAAGCACTGTCAAGTTAAGAGGTTTCTACAATACCAATCAAAAAATACATGTTAATATTTGATGTATTTCGAGCCAATTATCTCATCTGGAATCCATAAGATGTTACCTCTCTGAGGTGATGCCATTCTGATAGCTGCCACTGTACTGCCTCCTTCTGTCCACCGGCATCACATCGAGGTAACCTCCTGACTCGTTCTGGATCACTCCAGCATGGATGGCTGCTCTGCAGATACTGGATTTCTGGGTAAAACAAGAATGAGTGGTACCCACAGATGTACTAAGGTGAACTGAATACCAGACTAAAAGATCACATCTGCTCACTTGAATAAAAGTTGCTCGCCTGCCACATGAGCCAAAAGTTTCAGGATTATAGGTTTGTGTGTAAGAAACCTCCAAAAAAAAAAAAATCCCACAAGACAGAATGAATAATGACCTCGTTTGCACTTGGAAGTGTCCTGTCAACACTTTTACTAATGTTCTTTTTTGGTCTATGAGAAAATTCAGGATTCATGAAGTTATATCCTATCTCATCTTATCTTATCTTATTGTATCTTATTTTCATTTATGACTTTATTTTATCTTTTTTTTTCTTTTTCAAACTGCTGCCATCAGGCAAACGTTCCCGGAGCACTGAAGGAAGAACCTCCAGACTGATCAACAGCTTCATGTCGCAAGCTGTCAGAATGCTGAACTGCTGATCCAGATATGCAAACACTTCTTTGTTTAATTGCTTTTAGTTTTTGGATCCTGAAGAAACACCCTTTCATCTTGTTTGTACTACTATTGTATGTACAGCAAAATGACAATAAACTTGATTTGATCTCTTTTGTGGTGGATTTTTTTAGTTGCAGTACCAATAATGACCACCAAATTTGGCAGCGAGGCAGAATGTTGAAAAACACAAGAAGACTGAGCTGTGTTCTGTACAGAGTAGAAAGGTTGGTGACTGCTGCTGACATTTACGAATATCATCTCACACACCATTTAAGTAGTAACAGACAACAGCGGTCTGTAACTGATGTCACTGATGCAAGAACTTACATCTGAGTAGTATTTTGTGCCGATGACTCGGGCTTGACTCTCACGCAAACAGCTCCTGGGACAATACAACCTGAAATAAAGCAACAACTTGTGTAAGACCAAAGAATAGTTTCAGTGCAAACTTAATACATATAGAACTTGACTAACTGGGTGGAGTTAGTACCATTTGATACCAAGTGTTACCATGGAAATTAAAGGATACACAACGAATGTAAGAATCCCTCAATGAAGATGCAGAAAGTTTAGCATCATGGCAAATAGTGTTTTATTTTGTCTATAGGTTGGTTCTGCCAGTTTAAATTAGGAAGGCCACATGGGTAAAATAGCCAACGTTTATTTCTTATGGTTCATGTCCAAATGATTTCTTTGCTTCCCCTTCACCGTCTATGTAAGTAGCTGTGCAATGCATTCTGTTAGTGTTGCGTTTTGAGAGATAGGCCGTTGGGTTGGCCGCTCCTTGTTTGCATAAAGTTAAACATTGTTGTTGTAAAGTGAAGACATATAAAGCAGCTAGAGAAAGAAAAATTTTTCAAACAAGCCGCCATGTTGGTCCAGTATGAAATCCAGGAGAAGACTGCCTACAAGTGAACTGTTTGTCCAATCAGGTGCAGCCAGTGTTTGTGTGGTTGCCAGAGGGTATGGCATTTATTGCTTTCCTGTTCATTTATTGTGACACTTTGTAGCTGTACATCCATCAATGCTGGGAAGCAGCACGTCCAAAAACACCTTGTGGACACACACCATTAGAATGAGTGTGATTGTTTACATGAAAATCTCCTGTTACCTGGGACAGTGTCGTACAGGTTTCTTGAAAGGGCAGAAAAGTGCCACTGTGGTATCACATCGTACTGCTTTTACTAGAAGAAAAAGTAAACAAAGCATAGAAAAAAATGACCCTCCAGTATTTCTGTACACCAATAGCAAGATAAAGTAAAACATGATTGTGAAATGCGCATCTTACCAGGCACTGACTCTACTTTGAAGGAATTTGCGCTCCTGTTTTTCCTGTGAATTCAAACAGAACAGTATGAAGTTGTGCTCAATGCACAGTAGCTACAAGTCAAACAACCCAAACACAAATGGTGAACATCCAACAATACTCATACAATTAAATGGTTAAAAAATCAAACTAAAAACAGAAACTGATTCCTACCCAATGGATTGAATACCATTCTTGTATGACTTGTTGAACTGTTGTTTTCTGCCCAGTCTGGTCACATCCAGCCATCCTCCATCATTGTCAATAACACCAGAGTGTAGTGCAGCTCCACACACACTGGATTGCTGGAGGATTAACCAAAGGCAAACAGTCTTTATGTATATACTATTCTATAAAATAAATACAGTGGTGTCTGTTATTTGTGATCATTTACCATGTCATAATATGCAGTCCCAACTACTTTTCCAGGCTTGTTGAGGCAACCAGGTGGACACTCATATCTACGGACAGAAACCACAGTGAAGTAACAGCGCTAATGCTAATGCTTTCAATATAAACATATACAGGAATACATAACGATACAACTCTACTCATGTAAAGTTTTGTTGCTCATCTTTGGAATCAGTATCTACCTGTTGCAGGTTGTTCCCTTGCACTGATCCCTCAGTTTGGTCTCACACTCGACCTGTTGGGCTTCAGGAACAACACAAACTCATTGCAAGTCTGATAAAAATGCATATATTAATAGGATATTGGTAGTATTGCGGGGGCTTCCTTACACATCTGCTCTGTACTGACGACCTGGTTTCTCTCCAGGTTGTCGTTGGGAGAGGGGTTTGGGGACTGGGCCCTGGGTTGGGGCTCCCTGTCCCTTACTGGTTCTGGTTCGGGTTCAATGTAGTTGGTCTCCTCGATCTCAGGTGCTGGACGTCTGTCCACACCTCCATCTGAAAACACAGAGGCCAGATTACTTCACTGCGCTGTCTGGCTAGATTTTTGAATTTTACGTGCACTTTTATTGACTGAAGTTGTACATGTAACTCAACTATAATCTGAATATTTTCTATGGGGAAATTCAGTATTGGGTGCATAAAAATGGACCGAATCATGGGAAGGTTTCACAGTGAAATGCAGTGAATTATCAAACTAGCTCATTTGGACGAGGTAAGTAAAGAGAGGAGAACTTTGGGAAACTACAAATCTGTACCTAACCCACCTTTATAGCAGAGGTTGTCTCTGCAGCCCCCTGCGTAGCTGGCTGGACAGGCAGAACAGGGAGTTCCATATTTGTACGGAGCATGACCCCACCAGTTGCCCCTGAAAAAACACAATATAGGTTTTGTCAAGAAGGAAAACAGCCAAAACTTTCAGTTGTTTCAAATCTGCATTGTTATTGTCACCAATCTACACAAGCTTTTATTGGTTATTTGTTTTAGCAGGATTTTTTTAACCATATTTAAAGGTTGAGAAATGGGAGAAAAAAAGCAATGAATGAGATACCTGGGAAATTGTTTCTCTTGTGACTTGTGCAAATTCCTGTTCTTGCTAAACCTTTGTTCCTCATGCATGTGACACTACATTCATTGATGACAAACCTCTGGTATCATCAGGAATGATTTGTGTGTGTTAAGTTAATGGAGGCATTTCTTGGTGAATGATTTAAATGTCAACCTTTAGTTTTTACTCTAATGCTCACTATTGGAGATATTTTTTGGACAGTTTTATAATATGTATGTTGTTGTCATTGGTGAAAACTTACGGTGGAGAGTAGTTGCAGACCAGATAGACAGCTTTGGCCCAGATCATTCCCCACACGTTCATGTTGTAACATACATTGATGGCACAGCCAATACGATTACTAGTCGCCCAAACCAACTGGAAAAAGAAATTCAAACACATGAGTTGGAGCATGGAGCTGAATTATTAAAAGACACTTATGGTAAATTGATTTTTTTATTTATTTTTTTTGGACTAGTTTTAGCCAACCCTGTTTCTTCTTTGAGATTCAATCAGCCAGAAAAACATTAAAAAAAAGTAGATATCTAAAATTCATATAATTTTTTTGAAAGTAAAAGCCTAAAAGAGCTCTAAACATTGCAGGATAAGTATTATGAAAGGCCTCACCTGAGTGTAGTGAGTACAAACCGGTCCTGAACACCTGAACGGACAGTGCGGGTTACACTCCTGGGAGTATGGATAGCTGTAGTACCTCACCTCATCATACCAGGCCTGGACATGGTAGGTCGGGGGTCGGTCCCTAAAGTGACACAAAAGGTGTTTAATTGTGTCCTTTCATAATGTCACCAGAAACAATGAATACATTTATCAGACAGTTTAGCTGAAGTTTCCATTAGTGAGGTCAACTCTGGGCAACTTCCAGGTATTCTGTGTTAAACTCAACACTTCCCAGAGAACACACAACACTGACATATTACCGCCATATACGGTTTTCAGAAGTGTTAGCTAAGACGCACATATCCAACAGACATTCATTTGAAGTCATGTCTTTTTTTTAGCTCTGTTTTGGTCTCCACCAACTTCTAAGGAAAATGTCTGCAAAAAGATGAGCTTGAAATTTTAGAAAATAGCTTTATTTACCTCATGGCAAAAAAAAAAAAAAGAAAAGAAAAGTTAAGAACACTTATACCATTTTCAAATATGTAGAGTAAATTTAAAGCTACAACTAGGAGACTGTCAGCATAGTTTAGCTGAAAGACTGCACAAAGGAAACAAAAGTTGTCCATCTTTCAAGCTTACGAAATAACACATTACACATTCATTTTGTTTAATATGTACAGAAACCAAGGTATAAAATGGTGTTAAAGGGGATTATGTTCCAAATTTCTTGGTTAGAAGCACTTACTAGGGAAGAAGCAGGGACTAGGAGGCTACTGGTCCAGCTAAAAAATAGCTTGGTACATAATTTAAACATATAAAAACAGCAAATTGTTATGAAAGTCGATTGCTGCCAGCAAATTGTTTCAATATGATATGAATGAATAAGACTAAGTTTCCCCATTTCAGTCTTTGAGAAAAGCTGGGCAAAGCTAACCAGCTGCTAGCTGTAGCTCAGAAGCTCGTCACTGTCCGCCATTGGGTGCTGGACAGATCAGCTCACAGACTCAGTCTAAAACTGAGGTGAATTACACAGTCGAGCATTTTAGTCACGATGAAAACCTTTTTCATTTGATAAGTTTTCAACTAATCTGATGACTAACTTTCAAAATACACAACAAACTATGAATATTTACATTCAAAGAAAGAACAAAATATATTCTGGGTTGTGAGGTTGCAGGAAAAGTTTAACGTGAGGCAAATTTGTTTGTCTATATTAACTTTTTGTTCTCATGTTGTGAGGAAACACCATTTTTTTCATCACATAAAACATTGTTGAACTTCCCCCAACTTCTTCGTACATACGCACCTGCCCCAGTGCGCTCCGAGGTTTTGGCCTATTTGTGTCAACATGTGGCTTGGTCCGTGTTCCCATCGACACGTATGAGCCCAGTGCTCTGCGCTCCTCTCCAACTCATAGTCCCACACCTGAGAACACATGAACACACAGTAGGAATTATTCTGCTTTGGAAAGATGATCAGCTCTCATAGTTAAATAGGATAAGCAGCCAATATTTTATTGTTATTAAGCATGGTAGTATTAGTATTCTCTCGGGCAGCAGGTTAATCTCAAACATCCAGTCCAGGGTTACTTTGCCTTTGACAGAAGGCTGCAAACCTGAAACTCTTCTGATTTAAGTGGCCACTTACCATAGTTGTGGCTTTACTTGCTTTTCATTACAACTTGTTCAAATATCTCATTAGTCTCTTGAAGGAAACGACACTACCACAAATTCCATTGAAATCAATATGGAAGTAACCGTATACACACTTGAGGCAAAGTCTTTTACTTGAAAGGCTGTAGGCTGGCCTCTCGCAAATTTGACACAGTATAGTCAAAACTAGGCCTCTCCTATTAAGCACACACATCCACTCTGCTACACACAGACACATACATGAGAGACCACCACATCAACTTGCAGCTTTGTGCCACTCCTCAGCGCGGTTGTTTCATAGCTTGTTTCCAGTAAGTTTTGGTCGCATAAAACAATCTTAGAGATGGGGAGGAGGGGAAAAAAGCCAACACAAAAAAAAAATTAAAAAAAGGAGCACAGAGAGTCTCTGTTTGGGGGCTTGATGCCATCTTTACCGTAAAAGCTTAACAAAATCAAGCTGAACTGAGTTCCAAATACCTGAAAACTATTCACACACCTCTTGTTTTGAACAAAGCAGGCCGTGGGTCGTGGCCGAGCAATTTGAACGCCGCAGCAAAGTTAATTTACTGTTGACTCTGTTGGGGAGGGAGAAGAATAAGCGCAGTGTGCTGTGCTGTTGGCCCACTGTTTGGTTGCATTACGGCTATCACGCGTCAAAACTAATAGGATAATGCTTAAGTGTGGAGCTGTAACTGCTCTGCTTGACCGCCATAATGTGTTCCATATGTTTCTTACTGCTGCCCATTCACTGTGGTGCTGCTTACTGTTCAAGCCTGATTGGTAAAGTGATATTTGGACTGTTTAGTTCTTTGGCCACAAACCAGCTGTGGCCAATATAGCAGCGCTGAGGAGATTTTCTGCTCAAAAGTGCTTCATGTTTGCCATGTGATGCTGTATTTTACCAGGATCATTATGGTGTATTGTAGCTGTTAGGCAGAATTCTCATCGTGCTCATTTTGATTCTATTTTTTTTGTCATTTCAGCTAAAATATTGCATAAAAGTTCTATTGACAACAAAGATAAGTGTGATGTAACCTTTAGTGAGTGTTCAGACCAAAAACACAACTGCGATGTGAGAATGCTGCTACAGCAACAACTGATAGGTTTGATGAAATATGATCTAGTAGCAGTTTAGTATAAATATCAATGAATTAAAGGGTTACCAGTAGGAGGGCTGGTACTGATACCGATGATTAGTTACCATGGAGACATACAGTTTAATTGGAACAGATATGCATTTGCAGAAGAAAGAAAAGAAAATGCATCACAAAACTTAGTTAAAACGTGTTTAGGGAGGGCCACTCGTCACGGCATTTGCATAAGAGCCAAAGTAACACATCTGTAAATTAGCATATTTGGTCGAGAATTGGTAAAAAAGAATATATATATAAATATTGACAGTGTCAGCTCTAATAGCCAACATTTCCTCTGACAACTCCTAGTTGCCAGACAGAAAAAACTGCATCACAATCGGTTCAAAATACTTCTCAACTATAGAGAAACTATTGGCTCCTTTCCACCTAAAAAACCAAAAAAACAACACTTCTTCATTATAATGTTAAAGCCTTGTTTGATAATGCTGCTGCTGGAATATTTTATCACTATTTCTCATAATTTTGTCCAGGTCATTTGGGAAAATCTTTATACAACCAGCAGGAATTCATCTGTTTTCGCTGCCTCTTTGTAATATTCTATGGCAACCCAAAGGGAGGCAGGTGTGCATGACAGCCTTTAATCTCAGGAATAACAGATGCCAACATTTTTGGCCATGTTTGTCCCTTGCATTTAGCAGTAGAATTATTGTGTTAAAACTACTTTACCAAGAATGCACATTAGCACATATTTGACCAAAGGTGCATTGTGACTGAAATATCCAGGTCTTATTTATTTATTTCTTTTACCCATGTCTTGTGCGTCATTTGCTTTCTGCAACATGGTGGTCTCGTTTAACAGAACAATGGAGCTGTGAACCTTCATAGAGCTAATCGTGGTGATTTTAGGGCAGTAATCAAATCATAAGGTGCATCTAAGGTGCTGGACAAGAGGTGTATAAGTTAGATAAGAAGGGCAATTTAGCTGAAATGTGGGTTGTTGCTTAGAGTCTGTGGCTCTTGTATTATGTGGCAGCTACTGTTTGCTGATGACTGAAAATATATTATACGCTGAAGAAGACAGTGTTATTCTATCATAGGAATGCAAGTCTGAACAAAAAAATACTGTTTGATTTAAGTTGGACTTTAACAATTGGGGTAGTCTCTCAGAAACGATAACAGAGTATTTTCTTACAATTTCTTTTTTTGGGGGAGAAAAACTATTTCATCCCCTCAAACCAATCCTAATTCAAATCCTGAATAAAGGGCTACTTGTATAATTGTCCAATCTAAATTTAGACTCCCCCATCACACCTTTATGACACCAAAATGATCATTTTAAGTTGTTATTATGCCCATAGACATAACCAGTAGGTGGCCTCCTCTACAGCCTCTGAGCCGACAGTAGGACAAGTTATCATAAGATAAGTTAAGACCAGCTTTATTGATCCATCATTGAGGAAATTCACAGGTTTCCACTTATAAAGTTCAGCAAATGTCTACATTACAAGATTGAAGCTCAAGGTCCATTTTTACTTTCGTATTGACGAGACGCTTATTTACATTTTTAACCTTGTGCACCTGAGCTACTTGGTTAGGTTTAGAAAAAGATAATCGTTTTTGGTTAAAATACACCCCATCGCTACGTTGACGGCATGTTACAAAGTTCCATTTTGTAGGTTTTCAGGTTGATATTTTACATAATCTGGTGAGTTGGTGATCAGGAATTGATAACAATGCACCATCTGGCCTTCTGGCATAAGAATGAGTGCCTCTACTGTCGATATTTAAGGTATGATAGCAACTGATAGATGTGATTTAATGGGCTGATCATGCTCAAATACTATGGGCTGCATTTGACCTTTTCAACAACTTTCCAGAGCTGCCAGTTTGACAAGCGCTACCACTTCACCCAGTATCTGCTAAGGTGTCTGGAGAAGACCGTCTGTGGAGGATTTAAACTGTTTCTTCATTCTTTACATCTACTTCAAGTCACCATTCATGTAACACCACTGATGCTTTAGAGGAAGTCTGCATTGCTATCCCCGTTCCTACACATTAGGATATCAGAGTTTTCATCCTGCCTTTGGGTGCGGCATCCGCAACAAGTAAAAACATTTAAACGTGTTCTGACAACGCCTCACAGCTTAAAACAGCTGAACCCTAAGCCCTACTTACGAGGCAATAGTGCCCACCTGCACGGCCCAATACTTCTTCAGGTTATAATGAAATCTGAGTTCAGCACAAAGCTTTCAGTGCAAACAATCTACAGCGGATACTAATGATCTCTGCCAGCTCATTATTCTCTCCGTGTTCTTGTTATTCTTCCCCCTCAATTATCCAGTAGAGGGGAAGATGGACTGCCCACCAGCCTTTTTGAGAAAGGTCACAGTAACAACTACCAATCTCCTTTTGCATTCCAAAGAGCATTAAGTTTCTAAAACACAAACCTGCTTCCAGCCATCTGCCAGGACCACCTCTGCTACAGAGCTAAGTGCAAAACGTGTGTCCTTACAGCAAAGTTGGTGCTCAAGGCTGTGCTTTGCAAAGACAAATCTTCAAGAAGAAAACAAGAAGTTTGTTTAAGAAGTGCTTCATAGAAATGCTTGTAATTCATCTTACAGTATGGAAAGTGGCTGCGGTTATGGGACATTTAAAGAGCTTTCTAAGTGACTTGCCTTACATGCAAAAGGTGCCTTAAAGTCACCTACTAAACAGCTTTTGTATGAAATTAAGGAGTCAGAGCTGCAGTGGAGATGTAGCCCCCTTTGGCCTCCAAATCCTGCAATCTGAAAACCAAATACTTGGCCCTCATCAGCCCCCTGTCTTACCACATCATTATCATCAGTTATAGTATCCCCCCAGAAGAAACACTGGATTAGTGTACATAACATACATTTGCACTACCATGCCCCGCACTTCAAAAGACAAGGCTGGCCATGTTTGAAATAGATTCACCGCTGTGGCACTCGAAATGAGATGCATGGAGGATCAAACAAAAGATAACATTGGCCCGAGTTTGAGTGAGCTGCGATGGATGGAGAGGGAAAGCGGAGGAGGGTGAAGAAAAGCCTGAGGGGAAGTTTGCGAGGCTGAAGATCGAGCAAGTAAATGGGCAGAGCAGCGAGGAAAAAGAGGAGAAGTGGAGTGACGGAGTAAGGAGAGGGAAGGCAGGTTGGTTGAGGTAGAGGGCAGGACAACACTGCGGGGGTGAAAGCTGGATCCGAGCCAGGGTCAGCGAGGGCAGGAGGCGGGAGGCGGCCAGACGGTGGCTTTGGCTTGCAGATCTCGTTTTCTCTTTTTCCTTCCCTAATCTGCTGTCCTTAGCTGGCAGAGCATAACTGGCAGAAAGTGCTTTCCGCTGGGAAAGACTTCAGTGTCAAACCTCCCTGATTGGGCCAGGGTCACTCGAAGTTGTTCGATAGATGTGATTGCAGATACTAGTGCAGTCACAGGGACATGCTCTTCTGATTTTTCTTTTTGCTTTAAGGAAAAAAACTCACGTACAAGAGAGAACAAATCAGAGCAGCATAGAGTTGAACATAAGTTAATGTTGTCTAGTTCTCCATTGTGGCACTGCATGTGCTCAGTGAGATTCACCACCGAAATTAGTTTAATCAGTCTCTGATTTCAGACAGCAATTAACAAAAGCTGCTTCTCATTTCTCTCTTTGATTTTGTTCTCTGTGTCTTGCAGATGTCATCAGCGCACTGAATAATTATGTTAACACTTACTAATGAAGCAATCACTATATCATGGTCGTGACCATCGTTAGTTTGTGACCACTGCTGGATAGATGTCATCTTGTATACATGACTGTTATGATTAATGCTGTTCAGCTTTCAAATACAAGTTGAAGAAAATGCCAAGCAAGTGGCATTTTTTAAATTTTCAAAACAAGACTCTTTAATGCCAAAGTGAAAACCAATTTCTACAAAGTAATGGCAATTAGGAGCAGAGCTAATTCTGCATACTTCATGTGCCAAAACATGAACAGGTTTATTACATTAAATTAGGTAGTACCATCCCCCCTGACCTCCTAAGTATAGTGATGACTGATGAAAGGCCTAAAGTTGTGTAATTATCATGAGATTGTTTTTTGTAGTGATCAGATCTTTTTGTGAATGCAACGTGCTTTCGTAAGTTGTAAACACTGTGTGGCCACAATTTCTGATGGCCTGTGCTTCAGGTTATTATTAACACATTTTTGTCTTGTTTTATTCAATCTGTAAAGAAGGTAAGAGTTGTGCAAAGTAGTTGATGATAACAGGATGCTTTTTTTTTTTTGCTTTCAGAGACACGTGATCAGAAGCATCCTACGATGCCTGGTAACTTAATTAAGAAAAAGAAAAAAAAGCTGATTAACATCCAGTACTTCACCTTCTTTAATCTGAAGACTGATTAACAGTAATACCAACAACCACTACAACATTACAACCAAGAGGCAACACTGAAAGCTGAAAAATGAAGTCAACAAGGAAGTGCAGAAAACCACAGTTCCTTGAAAGTCCACTAGAGGCTTGCTCCAAAAGCGAGTCAGTCACCATAGACTGTCATGTTAAAATGCCAAACTCTACAGCAAAAATGAACATATTTACAGCCTGGCACACAAAATGATTTTGGTCTCTATCGGTAATTTCAGTGCTCACAACAATTTTGGAAGAGCCACCACACTGCTCTTCAATTAACCTGTCAGCGATGTCACAGAATGGTCCATCTTTATATGCAGTCCATGGTTACATCCAAAAAGCAGCGCCCCCTGTAGTCAGAGTTTATGATGGCTGCAGAATGTAGTGGAGCACGGTGAAGTGTTGAGCTCATTATTCTCAGTAGTCTAAGTATGACAAGGCAAACTGGACTGTTGCTATTGATATGTCATGACAAAGTGAAGATGCTACGCTCACCTACATGTCAAAGATAATGTCAGCCTAAAATTTAGTAACATCCAGGACCAGCTTTTATGTAAACGCTGTAGTATGTACTAGTCACAAACTGATCTTTTTTTTTTTTTTTTTATCAGTTACACCACAAATGAACTCTTTTGTCTGGAAGTGACGCTAGATTACTATTGTACTAGTGAGTCGGACATGGTTGCAGCTTAAAATAAAGCAGAATGTGCTTTTAGTTAGTATAAATGTGGACTGTCCCAGGGAAACCACTTTATCGTGTTTAGAAGTCCAGAGCTTGACAGGCCTGCTGTGCCTAGTTCCAGCTGCTGAAGTATGACTTGATGGTGTTTAGTGAACACTCAAATGATCAGATTTTATATCAGGAGTTTAATCCCGACACATTAATATCCAGTTCTAGCTTCAAAGTGTAACTAATACTGGTTCTGCAGACTGTTGCGTCCTCAGCACTCACCATGTACTCCATGTTGGATGCAGGAGGGTGGACCTGACCCCTCAGCTTGTTGTGCAAGTCCAGGATGAGGTGCATGTCTCCCTCGCTGATGGCCCTCTTCCCTCTCGACCTGGCCTTCCACCACTCATCATCCTTGCTCCTGTACTTGTCCAGGATGGACTCGAGCCTCGTGGAGTTGGTGAGGACGGCGGCCAGGACGGTCTGGCTCAGGCACAGGAACAAGCTTGCTGCTCTAACCCAGCCGGGGCAAGGAAGAGACCTCCTCATGACGGGGACAATAACTGATGCTGTGGGGAATACTTTTTGTCTGCAGAACAGAGAGAGAGAACACGTGTTGAGGTAGAATAGCTTCAGTTCTGCTTTATTAGCCTATCTGCATGTGGAAACAGAGCTTGCATGCATCTTTTTGGGCGCCTTTTCTCCATCAAAAAAGAACTCTATCAAAGTGCATATTAATCAACTCCCCTTCCAGCCTGAAACCTTGAATCTATCTTCTGTCTCAGTTTAATAATGTTTTAATTATGGGGGACTTCACTTCAAACAGTAAGTCTAACACAGCTTTCAGCAGCCTGAGTGCATCTGCGGGTCACTGCATCACTGCACACAGTAGGACCAGTGTAAACGGACTTTTCACACGTTATGTTACAGGGCGCAGGACTTAGTGCGCATGCTTAAGTTACTGAACTCTGTGTGCCAACATGCCCTCTGGGGAGACTTTGATATGGAATTTGTGAGATGCAAACAGAGATTCAATTATGGTTGCATGAGAGCTAAAAATATGAATGCATTTTAACGTTAAAACAGCACAACACTGTGTAATATGTTGGTGAGGTGCCACAATGAAAGGATAAAAGTAAGACTGACTCATAATAAAGAATAGTGCAAGTTTACCTCTAAATTCCGTCTAAAGTGACAAAAAAAAATATCCTCCAGGTGTAATATTCCAGATGATGATCCTCCTGGAGATTAGTGCAGAGTGACAGATTTCCAATTTAGGGCGCCTTTAAATCCATCCATCACACACACACACATGCACACACACACACTAAATGAGCGCAGGCAGTTTTTCGTACTGTACATCCACTTCTGCAGGACGGGAGAGCTCACAAAGGTCTGTAGGTACCTGTTGAATTCCTCAGGTCGCTCAGTGCGAAGCGGGCTGCACGGGACCGTTGCTCATTTTGCGCTTATATGCCAAACTGGCGCTTAGCAACGCTCAACGCAGCGGACCACGCCTCTGCAAACGCTCCGGCTCCACACACACACTAACACACACACCTACACACGCACACACAGGTCGGCAGGGATCTGTTGCAGCTCCAGGGTTGATCTATTTGAGGAGGCACCTGATCGCACTAGAAGTGACGTGAAGGTAAACTTGTGGATGTTGTGAGAGCAGCCCACTCCAGTTACTAATATTGCACATTTTGCTGTTTCCATTTTTTATTTTTTTTTTATTTGGACAGGAAGACAAAGTCAACACTTAGTTAATGGGAGAGGAAAAAATGACCACAGTCTTCAGTGCATGCCCAAGAATTGACATTTTAAGAACTCAAATATCCCAATTATAATGAACTGATAGATCTTTTTCTGTCATCATATCGCCTCTCATGATAACATGTTCTCTGTATCTGTGCAGTGTCTGTGCAAAAACAACTATAGTTAGATTTGCATCCGATCCATGAGCATCCGTGCTTGGCCCTGTTGCTCCACATCATTACTGTTTGTGAGAATGGCAGCAGCAGCAGCAGCAGTAGCAGCCAGCAGGGTGGCCAGTATTCCCCCTACAACACGACCACAAAGCACTGATTCATCTGCCTTAACACACACTAGAACATTTGTGAAAGTTTGTGGGTTTTGTGTGTGTCCATGTGTGTGTGTCTGTTTATATACTTTCCGCCCCCTCTTTTTGCTTCCTGTACTCCGACATGCTCTGTGCTGACTGTCCATCAGCACAGAAGAAGAAGAAGAAGAAGAAGAAAGAAAAGGGCATTTCTTTTAAAACTTCCATTAAGATACAAAAGCAAAATGGAAAAAAAGCAAAAAAAAGAAGCATAAAATAATGCAAAGAAGCCTGCTTATTGCACAGAATCATATTTAACTTTTATATCTGCAACATGGATGGAAAATTTCAACTAGGACTCAACCCAGACCTCAACTTTAACGTGACCAAATGATCAAAGCTTACTTTCTATAGCTTAATAGCTACATGTAGACTGTTTTCAACTGCCCTCACACTCACTTCTTGCCATGCTCAAGTAAATGGAGATGTGAGAATGTACCAAGACTAACGCTCACACTAAGATCTGAAGGCATTAACAAGGATGCGACAGTAAAAAAACGAGGATACAGTGAGAAATATGAAATGAAAGGCATATTGTACCCAATCCAAACACTGCAGCCTGACAAATCTATGTTTTTGGTCATTATTTCCTCGATTTAGTGAATCGTTTTTGCACCAATAAACCTAAGAATGTGAAGGAAAGTGTTAAGGTGGTGTATTACCAGCAACCCTGAGACACTGCAGCATATTCTCAGTAAGAGAAGTCTGGAATTTTTGGCGTTTTTGCCTTGAAAGAAACCAACTGATCAATCATCTAAATAGCTACTGATCATTTTCCTGTTGATCACCCACAAAAACATGTAATTTCCAAATGACTGCAACACATAAAGGTTAAAATAAACCTCACCTGGCTGAATGAGATTAATTCAAGTGTATGTCATTTGCAAACGGTGGTGTCGACAGTGTTTTAGTTAGAACAGCCTCACATACAAACAGTTCAAGCAAACATTTTCAGGATTTAGTGATTACTGTCTATGTTTTCCAAGTTTGGGGGATTTTACAGTATAATAAATTCAGTGGCGCTGACTAAGGCGTGCAGTAATTGCTATCTTCTACTAGCATCTGCTGCCCCCTCTTGGATACAGCAGAGCTTTTCAGACCCCTCAAAAGAAAAAAAGAAAAAGAAAACCAAAGCAAACCATCCATGCATCAGTGGTGTCTGAGTGGAGCAGGCCCATGGTAGCCAGTAGAGGTGCCGTTTACTTTACACTTTTAAATGATTTAAAGACAAGAAGAGGACGTTTTCCTGCATGCAGTGATTCATGATGAACTTCAGCTGTATGGACGCTCATTTATAATTGCAACACAACCAGAAACTCCTCATGTGGCGACTGTAAAGTCATTCTGAAGACTCTTTTTGGGGCCACACAAACACATGTACAGTGCATTAATACAGGGGAACAAACAACGAAAGAGCAACATATAGTGGTTTATGTTCTTTGCCATGTTGCAGATGTTGTAAAGCAAGTCACTGTTACATCAGTAGTTTACAGTCCGTGGTAAAAAGCAGTGTAAAGCAGCCTGGCTAATAAGAATTCAGAGTGAAAAAAATGACCTCCAGAAACAGTAATATTAATCTCCACACTGCAAATATACTGTTGGTGAATTGAAACTGAATAGATGGCCAAGAAGCAAGGGTAAAACCAGGACGTGTGTTTGAAAAGATAAAGTATTGAGGACATGCTATCTTGTTTGCTTAACCCAGTTACATGTGTAAAGAATAATTAGTTGTTTATCAGGGAGATATGTAAGTATTTCTTCATGTTGCCAGGCAACCAGCAGAGATGCTGCACAGAGACGCTTGTTGAACTGACTGTTCATTTTAGATTTGATTTCATTGATCACATTTTAAACTCATCAGGGTCTGGCTCCAAGCTGTATCACAGAAATGCTGACCCCCATATGAGCCAGTTTGTAGCCTAAGCTCCCTAAGGTGGGGCCCTTCTGATTGTTTTAGATTCGAAGCTTAAATAAAGGTGACGGGCTCTTGACATTATGGCTCCTGAGGAGAAAAGCTTTGCAGAATCAGTGTCTTCTTAAAACCCATTTTATAGACTTACTTTTGCCCTCTTTTCCTCTGTACTATGACAATTTTGGTGCTTGTTTTGTTTTATTTGTACCAGTTGTACCGTCGCCTCACAGCAAGAAGGTCGCCGGTTCGCGTCCCGGTATGGACACCTGGGATCTTTCTGCGTGGAGTTTGCATGTTCTCCCCGTGCAGCGTGGGTTCTCTCTGGGTTCTCCAGCTTCCTCCCCAAAAACATGTTGAGGTTAATTGGTGATTCTAAATTGTCCGTAGGTGTGAATGTGAGTGTGCTTGGTTGTCTGTCTCTAAGTGTAGCCCTGTGATAGACTGGTGACCTGTCCAGGGTGTCCCCTGCCTTCACCCTGAGTCAGCTGGGATAGAGTCCAGCCCCCCCATGACCCTAGTGAGGATTTAGCGGTGTATAGATAATGGATGGAAGGAAATCTGAAATGCTCATTAGTGGATTAATAATATTTAACACATTCCTTTTATAATGTTTGTAAGTTTTACCGAAATATCAAACAATCATCTGCCTTGTGTTCATTTTTAGATTTAATAATGAATTTGCAGATAAACAAATATTAAGAGTAATTACTTTTATTGTTCAATTAGCTAATAATAAATGAAAAGCTTGAACCATTTCCATGGCACTTGTGGTCCGCCATAGAAATAATGAACAATCACACGACTACTAATAATAACAATAATCATAGTAGTAGCAAAAAGGATGATGATGATGATGATGATGATGATGATAATGATGATGATGATGGTTAATAAGTTGAATATGTATTTTGGAAATATTTTTTTATTTTATTGTGATGTGGCTTTGATAATGCTGTGATGATGGAGAGCGAGTTAAGCCACCAAATCTTGAACACACACACACACACACACACACACACAGCTTCGTGAATGAGTGTATATCTTGTGAGCGGATTAATGCAGCCTAAAGGTGGAGCAAAAAATTGTGAAGGTTTTGTGGCGGACGGGAGAGTAATCCTTTGAGCTGTTGGGGAGACACACAGAGAGGGACGGACACGCCGAAGTATTTACTCTCGGATTTGATGCATTTTAAAAGGAACTGATGGGTTGAACAATACTTTTTTTTTTTTATTATATTATATTTTTACAACCCAAAAAGGATGCGTAGGAGCTGCTTTCAGTCTAAACTGTTTAATGGCAATATGTGAGACAGAGCTGCTCATCCTCAGGGAACAGAAATGGTGCACAAACTTCTGCTGCCCGTCGGTGAGTTTACTGCTGTGGACATGTTTCATAGCTGCATCTGATTAAAAGAAACAAAACAAGTGTTAAACCTTTAAACATCATCGATTATTCATATGAATCACAGCAAAGGTTTAGAATCCCATTTGTTGTGTTTTCTCCCGTCTGGTAGAACTTATTTTTTTTCCTATGTTTTCAGAAGTTTAAGCTGCTTGTAATCTTGTTCCTCTTGTATTCTCTCAGCTTTTGCAGCAAGTCTCCTCTCCTCCCAGCTGTCCTTTGCCACATCAACCAAAACCAAAACTCAAGGTATCCTGTCACATCCTGACATCATTGTTCACCATTAATCATTCGGACAATTTGGTTATGTTTTCGGCGAAGATAACAGTGGTTGAATCATTTACACATTGATGGATTAATGGATTGATATGGCCACAAAAATCTACATAGCTAAGATGCCAGATTGTATTCAAATGTACTAGTACATATAAATATGTGTTTTTCCCAGTCAGACAAAACCACAGACATCAGCTCTGAAATTGTAGTGCACATTTTTCTTTCTTTTGATTTTTGCGAAATCCTGACATGATGAACAACTAATTAATTAATGACAAAACATGCAAAAAAGACAAAAAAAAGACCAACAAGTTGTCATTGTGACCACATAATGCCGAATCCACAGTATAATATAATGATACATTAAATGAGATTCCTTTGGTAAAAGTCATTTGGGGAACGTGGGCGTATTCTTCGGGTCGATCAGAGCATTGACAGCCTTCTAATGAGCACTCAGTGGACTCAGAGCCACATCATAGGATAATAAATAACAATCTTTCTGTTTGTTTTTTCCTTCTAAGATGGACAAAAACACTGGTTATGTTTGTAGTCTCTCACAATTAAAATAGCAGACAAACTGTGATGCTAACAAGCCTCCAAGAAAGTTATGTTTACCATCCGCAATGTGAAGTCAAATTAATTTAGCAACCAAATTAGTACGATTTTTAGAGGAAGAATTGTAGAATGAATGGCAGGTTGTGTAATTTCTCGGTCCTGTTTATCTGTTTGTACACTGTTTGCAGTGAAGAACAACTCAGGTGTGACCCCGGCCGGACAGTGTGGGACCTGGATAAAGGAGCCTGATGGAGGCTATTTCACTTCACCCAACTACCCCGAGAGATACCCGCCCGAGAGGGAATGCATTTACATAATAGAAGGTGAGACTTTTTTAGCCTCACAAACCCTCTTCCTTTAATCTGACCTCCTGGTAACCTCTCCTCCTGCTGCAGCTTCTCCCCGGCAGTGCATCGACCTGTTCTTCGACGAGAAGTACTCCATCGAGCCGTCCTGGGAGTGCAAGTTTGACCACATCGAAGTTCGCGACGGCCCCTTTGGTTTCTCGCCCATCATTGGCCGCTACTGTGGGCAGGAAAGCCCGGCGTACGTCCGCTCCAGTGGGAGGTACCTGTACATCAAGTTTGTGGCGGATGGCGAGCTGGAGGCCATTGGTTTCTCTGCACGATACAACTTCACGAAAGGTGAGTGAGACTGAAGGGGAGTTGACCTTAAAGCTGCACTAATCAATAGTTTTAAATCAAATATAAATGCACTGACTATGTGTGAAAAGCAGCCGTTGTGACAAATCCCATGAGAATTATCATCAAATTATGCAGTTCTCTTTAGTTTCAGGGTGAATTTCAGCATCCTTCTGCTCTTTATTTGGGTTTTAAAGGCCAAACTTTACTGTTTTGGTTTGTTTTTCAGTGAAAAAGCTTGAATAACATCATTGCATGTTATTTTCCAGCATCAAATAGAGAAGACGGACAAAGTTAGCAACTATTCAGCGCAGCAGAGCTTTTAGCATGTAGCGAGGAAACAGATATTCCTTTGTAGTGTGTATTCACCACACAGTTTAAGGTTGCTTTGCATCATCCGGTGTAAATGCTATTTTGTATGATAGTTTAAGTAGATGGGTAAATGGAAGTTTCCGAATTCATTAAAGTTTTAGTATGACCTGTTTAGAAAACTGTATTTTATGCCAAACAGAATCATGGAAACTTTCACAAAAGCAGTGCAGAAGGAAGAGTAAATATTTGACTCTTAATTAATGATATATTGCAAATATGCAACTGTATGCTAACATGTTTGCCCAAAAAGTCAGTTAATCTACCTTCATCCAAAGCTCTTTTACTCAAGCAAGGAAAATAAAAATAAAATCCAGTTTGTTCTACAGAGCCTAGTTTATCGAGGAAGGTAATATTCAATTTAAAGTATTCCCAATCTTACATCCAGGGTCTCATTTATGGCAGAAGTCCAGTGATTATGTCACTGATCCACCATTTCAGTGTCACCGAAGTATCTAATTTCATTCATAATAATGATTAAATAATAAACACTTTTGTATTGAATATTTGAATCAACATAAACAAATCAGGTGTGTGACCTCTGTGGCTGACAGGAAGTCACATGACCTCAGTGACGGAAATCATCCATCTATTATGTAATCTAATGGTAGCAGTGCGGTTGGATAGCTTTACAGTGATAAGGCTAAAAAAGTTATTAGATTTTTCTGAGTTTTTAATTAATGTTGTTTATCAAACTTTCATCAAAGAATCCAGAGAGCATAGGTATACGTTTAAAATAATATTTCTGTAACTTAGGTTTATAATGGGTACCGTACTGGTAAATACAAACTGTTTGATTCATGTTATATTAAAAAAACAAGGACACAAAGAAGACCATCTTCGGTTGCTGAGATTAAACCATTTTCTGTCAACTGCGGTGGTGTTGACATGGTCTGCCATCTTGTTTGCAGCGAGGTGCAATTCAGAAGTCTGGGTACCACACTAACAGGGTCATTTCACTCAAAATAGGACAAAGTGTTGACCTTACTGACAGCATTGTGTATGTAAGTTGTAGCATGTTGCTCCGACTCAACACCAGAAAGTGATAATTGGGAAGTTGTCCAGTCATTGGTTTACATACATATACACCATCTTACGAGACGATATCAACTGTAGTCACTGGACTACACTGTATGGAGTGGGTTGTTGCATTATACTGGATTACTAGGACACTAGGTGTACCTATAAAAAACTGCATCCAGACATCAGGGCTGTATAGCTAAAGAGTTGTAATCATGGTTTAGCTTTCACAAAATACTCTGCTGTAGATTTCATGCTCTTGTGAGAGTGTGTCCAAAAAAAAAAAAAAAAAAGGAAAATACAGACGCTTTTCATAAATTAGCATTTCTGCTCCACTGTTGTTGCTGCAGCTCTGTCTGGCTGGCAGGACGGCCGTTCAGAGTATTACTACGGCTCTAAGCCTCTGCCTCCTCTCCTTGGAACTCTCTCCCAGTCGCCCTCCCTGCTGCGAATCTGACATTGTTGTCTGCCTCGTGCCAAAGTCGTTCACCTCTTTTACCCTGTCTGTTGGCTTCTGGCTTTTCTCTCACTCAGTTTGCACAGCGAGCACACATTTGCATGCACCCATGTATTTCCAGTGCCATGATGGTCAGTGCAGCTTTGTGATCACAATGCATCAATGGAGCAGTATAAGAAATACATGCGTTGCATCTTGGCAAAAGTGGCATATTGCAACTTTGATAATGGTTTGGTTGCATGCTGCAGGAAATGTGCTTTATTTCCAGTCTTAGTGCAGCTGCAGCTGACAGGGGAGGGGGCGTGCAGCAAACACACACACACTCGTGCACATACACACACACACGTTCCCTCCGTGTCACACACACACACGAGAGTTAATGAAAGCTTGTCTTCAGGGGAATACAGCTTGTCAGCGCTGAGCCGCAGTAGCAGCTTAAGGGAGTCAGGGGCAGAGGCTTTATTAACAGATTTTATAGGCCACCTACACTGACAAGGGCCAAAGATTAATCTGCATCCCTCTGTCCATCCATCCAGCCAGCCATCTTTCTTTTCTTTTTGTTCTTAACGTGATTGAGGCTCTGCACGTTATTGTTTTTGTTCCTCAAGGGATTGTTCCAGTTTGAGACCTTCTACTCCTGATGATGATGATGATGATGATGATGATGATGATTTTGATTCCAGAGAGGAATTCACGTCACCTACACTTAAGTGCCTGAGGCTGCTAAACCTTTATTAATCATCAGATAAAACGTAGGTATTAATCCACCACAATTTTTTGTTAAGTCCCCCGTAGCTTCCAGTATTAATAACTCATTAAGAAAACTCACTAATTTATATTTTAAAAGACTGAAACATTTAAGCACTTAAACTAGCAAACTATCCCTCTAAGAAGATACTTAGCATTATTGTCAGATCAGATCAGGAAAAGCCGTTTTCCGTGTGTTTACATCAAATGTAATGAGTCCTTAATGCCAAATGTTAATCTCCTGTCTAATTCCGCCCATCACGGGTGGCGGGAGGGAATAAATTCACCAACATGCCTGCATACAATTTGGAAAACAGCAATGTCTTTTCTGTTTAAGCAAGTAATAGGAGGTTACTGCTCAAGACATTTAGCATCCATGTGGTCTAGGTGCAACTATAGCACAAGGTAGTGCTAACATTGCTCATACTTTGACAGAGGATGTATTTTTAGTGCATGATTCCTCTAATTCAAAGTGACTTTTAAGATGGTGCAAGTCGTCTAGCAGAACCTAAAGGTCCCCGATTTTGTTTGCTGGAAGGGTAGCGTGCTTTGTATCAATATCAAGCTGGAATATTTGTCTTCTGCCAAGCTTCTGCAGACAAGGAGTCATCTTGTCAGTCAGTTTTTTTGGTATGTTCATGAGCATTCACAGTGCCATCTATAAATGTCATCTCCCCAACACCCATTTCACTCATGCAGCCCGATGTTGCCACACTTCTCCTCCATGCTTCATTGTTGGGACTCTGCATTCACTGTGGTAGTCCTGACCAGATTCACAGCAAACGTGCTGGACCATATGTGGGACAACTAAAATGATCTTGGTGTGCATGCAGATAGACACAGCCCAAAGGTCCAAAGCTTGGAGACTTTTGGTGTTCACAGCTCATTTTCTAACCATATTTATCGACTTAGCAAATTTGAAATCACAGTCAGTTTAGTTGACGGGATCACAGGAGGCACTGAAACTTTTTAGTTTCTATACAGCCTTGTAAAGCATTTGGTTTTTATTCTTCATAAGACAAACAATTCTATTTGTCAGCTTAGAAATAGTGCAATTATTGAGAGGTGATGCAAATTTCAAGAGATATTGCACATGAGTGTACTCACTTTTGTTGTGTGTGTTTTCGTGAAGGCAAACACACTAAACCCCCATTCTTCATTATGCACAGATATTCTGGGAAAAGCTTGTAAGCTCATATACAACAATATGGTGGTAGTGATTGTGGTCCCTGGAGACTGGGTACTCTCTGCACATTTTCCTCTCTCCATGTACAGTGTGTCTTGCTTCGCTTTCGCAGATCGCAAATCAGCATCACCACATAATGCGCAGTGTAAATGTAAAACTGTGAAGTGTTCCGTCTCACATCACTTGTCCAAGATTGGTTTTAAATAGACAAAATAACATGTATGGCTGCCTGTCTCCAACCTAAACCTAACTAAACCCATAGGAATTGCTTGCAAGCTTCTGATGTGAATGATCACGACTTTGGACTTTGTTCATTGCAATCAAAAACAAAAGGCATACGGAAAGAAAATCAGAAACACGCAATACTGGTCCGGATGTAATCAAAGCAAGAGGATTAAATGTAAGAAGAGACCTATGAAAGTAAACTTAATTTCATGGCATAGAGATTTTTTTTTCTCCTATTTTTCCCCTGAAATTGTAGCTGCTGCAGCGTCTGATAATACTGAACAGATCAAACATCTTAAAACTAGAGTAAATTCTATTGAAAAGTCATCTACAACTCTCCTTTATGGAAGTCTACGACCATATCTTCAGCATGTAAGTGGTGCTACAGGATCTTTTTGACATATTTCTTGACATATTTCTTGGAAAATGCACTAAAAAATCAAACCGTTGACATATACAGTAATACAGTGTTAGCTGAAGGTTTGCTTCACATGGCTGAATGTGTGCTTCTGCCATCACTGTTCTGGTCTGTACCATACATTTTCAAGCTATATAACACCAGAAGAGGATTTACATAAACCATCCTATATCTCATCTTTATTTGATCTTTGCATTTTTTTTTTTTTCTTTTATTGGGTACAAAGTCTGTGGGAATATATTGTTGCATCACTCACACACACACACACACACACACACACACACAGGAATAAATGTGAATAATCTGGCCAAGCCTGAAGCAGAAACGGGTAAGAAACATGAGAGGATTAATAAGACTTCTTGCTGATGTGAGCCTCAGTCGAGTCCAACCGCTATCCACGATGCTGCTTTAACGAAAACGAAAAAAACAACTGTGAAATTTTAGCTCTAAAATAAACTTTAGCTGAAAAAATCCTTGCTCCTTACCCCGCATTGTTTATCTCCAAACATTAAAAACTGTGCTGTTTTTATATGTTACACTGTTTGGTCTTTTTACTTACATTAACGTCTGGGTTTTTCACTCAATCTTAAACCGTGCGCATCCAAGAGAATTCAAAAGTAGACATTTCCATCAGCAGGTCGTCCCTGCTGCCGGAGTCTAATCTCTCCTGACCTAAGCCGGTATATCAGGATTTATAATCCACCTAGCAAGTAGATTCATCAGCACAAAGGTTTAGAACACAATATCTGTTCCCTTTCTGATGCTGAGTGTGTTTTTTTTCCTTTTTGATGAAGGGCATCAGGGTTTCAGGGGGGGTTTAAATGAGGGCAGACGCAATGTGCTGGTACAAAGATTACACAAGCGTCCACCAGCTGTGTTTTTATTCTGTGTTGCCATATGTCTTCAATATTGTTATTGTCATTGTACAGCGTTTATTTCTTTGTACTTAACCAAAAAAATCAAGAGGTCAGAGACTTGTGTTTTAATCGCTGCTCTTTTTCCTCGACAAAATTTGTTGCAGAGAATATTGCGTGCAGGAGATGACATACTTTTATTCTGCAAATGTTTCTCATCATTTTCTTCCTCCTATACTGTAGGTATCAGTATGTTTGCCAGTGCTACATGTACATATTACATGCCGACATCATCTTCTGTGGAACCTGCATTGACCTAATATCTTAACATGCACTTAAACATACATACGCTTGTTTTTCCATCAGTACATACAATAAAGTAGGAAGAAAAACATGTATGAATGGGGCCACAACATTAAAAGCACTCAAGTTTTCAAGCAGAACATTGCATTGTAACAAGATAATCAACTTTATCTCTCAGAGGTTTTAATGTTGCGGCTGATCGGTGTTGGTACATGTTATATGCATCCATTCATCCGTTCAAATTATTGGAGATAATTTCCTCTACGTTTCATCAGTTTTTGCACACGAAGCCCATTTCAGAACTTGCTCACAAACTACTGTTGTGTTCTGCTTTTAGATCCCGAGTTTAAAGAGCTTGGAGAGTTGCCAGCTCTACCATGTGAGTATTTAACTTGTGTGATAAAACAGCACCAAGCAGATGTTATGAAAATGAATGCATCAAGCCTAAGTGGTTAAAAGAAATGCTCATACTGCAGGAAGGGCATTGTTTCAAATTTAAATTACCATTTATAACAACCTAGCTTCATTTGTTGCTTACATTTTGGAACACTGTGACTTTGCTTAAAAAAAAAAAAAAGAGGTCAACAAGATAACAAGCGGGGAACTTTGTAACCACGTTATTTGGAAGTGAGCGATATTCAGAAAATGACTTTGTTGACAACAGTGCCATCAGCATCAGTAGACCTGTTTTAACTGGAACACAAAACTGTTCACTCTTCACAGTTTGTGAATTTGAGCTGAGCGGTCCAGAAGGGTTTGTGGAATCGGCTCAGATAGCCAGGGAGGCCCGAGCGCAGCAGACTGAAGCTGTGGACTGCAGGTGGTACATCAAGGCTCCACCCAGAGCTCGGGTCTGTATGCTGAATGTCAACTGTTTGGAACTGAGAAAATGCTGCATCACATCACAAATGAAATTCCATTCATCTATAAACTTTAGAAACTATCTATCTACCTACTACCTGCCTGAACCTTCTTCTGATTGGAGGCTATTGAGAAAATGGTCATTTTGGCAGGAATCTGTATCTTTGAATCTATACCTGAGAAAGTACAGAATGACATTTTTCACATGAAATAGTGTTTTGTTTGGCCAGCAAGAGTGAAATTTTACAACACAGCACACAAATAGATAGCCAAGTATGACCAAAATATATTTTACAAGAACTTTTTTTATATACAAAAGTGTTTTACACATTTTCAACATGTCTTCTTCAACAATATCAGAACTCCAGAAAGTTAAGGTTTACCCATCTAGTTCTAACAATTCTACAGGTACACTTTAGTGTCTGAACAAAAATCTAGTACAAACCACCTTTAAAATATTCCCCCTTCCACCGTCTCTCCCTTCTGCTCGCTCCACAGATCTACATGCGTTTCCTGGAGTACGAGATGCACAACTCCAACGAGTGCAAGCGCAACTTTGTCGGCATCTACGACGGCAGCAGCTCGGTGGAGCACCTGAAGAATAAGTTCTGCTCCACGGTGGCCAACGACGTGATGCTGGCGTCCTCTGTGGGCGTGGTGAGGCTGTGGGCCGACGAGGGCAGCAGGAAGAGCAAGTTCAAGATCCTCTTCACCACCTTCCATGAACGTGAGCGAATCTCTGTCAGATGTGTTTTAAAAGATTAGTGTTTACATGGAGGGAAAAAAGCAGAATGACTACTTTTGTTTTGACTGTTGTGTCAGAAAAAGATGTTAATTAGATTATATCAGATTAGTGACCTTAGTGGTTTTATTTTTAGTAGATTAAGAATGTTGACATCAAAGTAATCATTTATTAGGTTTGCTAAGTGATGAAATTATATTTTAAGGATGCACTGATTTATATTTTATACCAGCTGATTCAACAAATAATTAGAATATGAAAAGAAATGCTTGTGGTGGCAAACCAACAGAAAACTACAACCTAGATTTACAGTTTCTGTCAACTCTACAGAGCTGCTTAGATAATTGTTTTGGTTCTATTGCTAAACTCTAGAAAGTGACCAGTGAACATAACCAACACTAATACTGCTCCATCTCTGATAGAATAGCTTTTGTAGATATCAATATGTCAGTGTTGTTATTTAGTAAGTGCAGTTTTAAAGGCACTATGACTAGAAAATGTCTTGTTTCCGCACTTTACTGGCATTAAAGAAAAAAAAAGTGACAAAAAAAGCACACAGTTGCACATGAATAAAATATTACAGAACATTAAATCACTGATGAAGAAGCAGTTACCCCCCAGTAAATATCAGCCTAAACTTTATTTAAGAGTGAGTTTGAATTGTATTGATTTGTTTTGGTCAGTCTATAGCTGCATGTCTCCTGCCTTTTCCTTTTCAGCTCCTTGTGAGGGAGACACCTTCTTCTGTCATAGCAACATGTGCATCAACCACACGCTGGTCTGCAACGGAATCCAGAACTGTGTTTACCCCTGGGACGAGAATCACTGCAAAGGTAGGCACAGGCTGAGAAACTCCACCAGCTGTATTCACATGGTTGTGATTTTGTTTTTTTCTGTGTTGTGTCCTTAACTAGAGAAGAGAAAGGCGAGCATCCTGGATACGCTGGATAACACCAACCTCACTATCATTGGGATAACCTGCGGCCTGGTTGTCATCCTGCTCACCATCTCCGTCATCATCCAGATTAAACAGCCTCGCAAGAAATACATCATCCGCAGGTGAGTGCTTGAAAACTCACCCAGTGAATTAAGATCTCATTCAATAATATTATTTATTATTTAGAAATCAGAAATGTTGCATTTCTGTAGAAACCAACCACCAGTGAAGGGAGAGTTCATATTAAACATACCTCCCAGTGAATGTTGCTTGGACTGGAACTGTTTACCACAACTTTACAAGGTGGAAAAAGTTATTGACTCTTCGCAGCACCTGACTCCTCTTAACGCCCTGCAAATCTAAAAATTAGCAAAGAGGTGTAGAGCGAGTGGAGCAGAGGTGGGCCATGCAAATGTCTCTCGATCAGGCACTGTCCTTTGAGCCTTAATGCAAGTAAAGTGGGTGAGTTATGAAACAATTCCCTCCCTGTACAGTTGTCCTGAGTGGGGAAATTAGCCATAGAGACCAAAACCAATCTTTGTGCCAGGCTGTAAACATGTTTATTTCTGCTGTCAAGTTTGGCATTTTAATATAGGGATTGACTCGCTTTAGGAGTCGGCCTCAAGTGGCCATTTGAGGAACTTCTGCGTTGGCTTCATTTTTTTAGTCCCTTTAGAGAAAACTCAATAAAGCAGCTCTAAATATTTACGAGAACCTTTTATTCATTTGATAACTTGCAGACTAGAGTCCAGCCTCAACCAGTGTAGCCAGGTACTCCTCAGGTAAATGCATATTGTTATTTATATTAGATGACACTGGCTAAAGTATCTGAGCCAAGAATAGCAGTATAATATCTAAAAGTATTGGTATGTCACAGCAAGAGCCTGAATGTGTCAGAAAAATGTCGTTGTATGGCTATGAATGATGTGACAGAGTGACTTGTCAAGGGATTTGAAAGGATTCTGGTTCAGTTTTGCTGGAGCTGATAAAATGCAGCTGATCCTGCTCTAATCTGAATACCCAGACCTCAACGTCTGCAAGAACGTTTGTCAGATTAAAAAGTTAGAATTTTTAAGTACTTTAAGCAAATTTGAATTTGTTTGTGTGTAAATGCATGAATCACAGGCCTTCAGGTTTAAACTGCACGTGAGTAGCAAGGCAGAAAATAACTTTATATGGATATTTTGTATAGACTGGCGACCTGTCCAGGGTGTCCCCTGCCTTCGCCCTAAGTTGGCTGGGATAGGCTCCAGCCCCCCCACGACCCTAGTGAGGATTAAGCGGTGTATAGATAATGGATGGATGGATATTTTGTTGTTTCTGTTGCTCACACTGTTTATTCATACCCATGAGGATTTGTACTTGACACCTAAAGTCAAAGTTGGATAGAGTTTGAGAACTAAAATCAGCTTTTTGTTGTGCCTTCCTGAACTTATACTGGTATTTACAGTATGTTTTATGTGCACACTCTTCTCCTCTTTGTTTCCACAGAGATGACTTTGACCCTGCCCTCCTCCACCCCGGCCTTGAGCCTCCTCACTACGAGCTCTGCACTCTGCGTCGCGCCCCATCGGGCGAACTGACAGACCCGGCCTTGGCCGAGGACTTTGACAAGTTCCACAAGCTCCGACGCGCCGAAAGCAAGTGCATCCGTGACCACCACTGTGGCTCTCATCAGGGGAGCTTGCACGGCAGCGTCCACGGCAGCCGCAGCAACCTGAGCATGAGGGACGCCACCATTGCACCCGAAGCAGCTGCCCTTGTGCCCCCGGTGCCACCGATGATGGCGAGCCAGCAGTCGCCGCGCCTCTCTCACCACAACACGCCGACGGGTCGACGGAGCATCCTGGTGATGAAGCATAGCTACTCGCAGGACGGGGCGGAGGGTTACAGGGCGGAGGAGGAGGATGATTTGATGATGGATGATGGTCCCACCACCAGCCAGCACCACATGCACCGTCATCCGATGCACCACGGCATGGCAGGGCTGGACCACGCTGTCCATCGTACTCTGTCTAATGACTTCTGATTGAAAACAAAAGGCAAATAAAGAAAATGGTGGATCCAATTGGAACTGCATTCAAATTTATGGGAGGAATTATGGTTGCCAAAAGTAGGCCGGATAATGTACATTTGATAAAAGCTCTCCTGATCTAACCTTTAATCTACTGAGGCTAAAAAAGAAAAAGTGAGTTGTAAGAGTGTTTCTTTGTGTCATATAGTCCAGGTGAAATCCAGGTTTGACACTATATGAGCCTGCAGCTTGGGGAAACACACACCACTGGTTTTAATAGTAGTTCCCCCCAAAGCCAAAGAGTTTAGGAGCTGTCCTGAATACCACACAGCTGTGGCAATGTAACCTGCATGGGACTGGCAAGGAAGTAAAACTGCCCTATTTGTCAGGGATGTATTAAAGATGGATTTATAAGCACAGACAATGAGATTAATGTCTTCCATTCTACTGGATCACAGTTCCCTTTTTCCTTTTTTTGTTCCTTGTTTAGTTTAAAGTGTCAAATCTGACTTGTCTGACATAAGATCATATTTGAAATCACTTTGTGAATGAATGACTGTAGTGATTGTTTCCTATGTATTTTCATCATGTCACCACTGAAGCGAGAAAAAGTCTGTTTGGTAAATGTTAGATGTCACCTGTGTTTATATGTAATTCATACAGATGTTGTGCCAAAAAGTGATCTACTGCCAAAAACTGTGGTTTGTTGGTATACAGTTGGGTCCAACAGTCATAAAGAAATTATTTCTTTTGCAATTATCCTTATGTCTCTGTATTGCTTTACCCATTCTGTGACTTACATTATAACCAATCCACTCCTTTTACAAGTTTAAATAGCTTTAAAAGACAAACTCAGCTCATATAGTGCAGTTTTCCACCGTTAAAAAGTGATTGCAGCCCCTACACTGTAACTGAACTGCTGTTAATGCATTAGAATGACTTGATTAGGGTTATTTTTCAAAGATTGTGGCCCATAGAATTGTTGCAAAGGAGATACTTTCTGCTTTTTATTTAGAAATGCCATCTGTTAAACACCATACAAATTTAAAGTCCTCTCTGTTTCATTGCTATGACTGTTTGATGAAAAGAAAAAAAAAGACAAAAGCAATTGTAAATGTTTAAGTCTCATAAAGTGGGCAGTTTTTGGCAGACTATCACTTTTTTTGCACTACACCTGGTTGTGGATAATTTATTTCTGTTTATTTATTTATTTAAATAAATATTTTACCATTACTTTAATTTCGCCACAAATTCGTCATTTAATGTGTGAATTTATTTTTATTTCGAATTAAGTTTATTTATTCATTAAATTTTTTTCTACTCGTGTTGCCCGGGAGAGAAGACGGAGGGTAGGAACCCTAATCAGCCTGGCTTTGTTATCCACTCGGACTGATAACAGTGCTGCACAGGTCATCTTTTAGAATGCATGAGTTTAGGAATAGCTGGACTGCTGCTGTCATTTGCGAAATCTTCAGTTTATAATATTTTTTTCACTTGAGAGTGAACATAGTGAACATTTTCTATTTGTTTGAAGAATGTAAAATTTTATTTGCGACGCTTTAACCTTGGATAGCTACTAGCTTGCTAGCTTTAGCAGCAGCTGTCATTCTGCGAGTTTAGCTCCGTGTTCATTAGTTCACTACGGATTTATAAAGCAAAACGTTTCCGTTAAGCCAGCATCATGTCACAAGAGGAGCTTTTCCTGGACTCGGGACAGAGTTCCGGGGATGCGAAGGAGAAGAAAGGCAGAAGTCGCCTCGGCCTGGTGGTCACCGGGGTGGTGGGAGGGTCGCTGGTCGCCCTGTACGCGGTGGCGGCTCCGTTTGTGACTCCTGCTCTGAGGAAAGTCTGCCTCCCGTTCGTACCGGCGACCACAGCTCAGGTGGAGAATGTCCTCAGGGTGCTGCGGGCAAGATCAGGGACCCTGGTGGACATCGGGAGCGGAGATGGAAGGATAGTAAGTGCTGGGAGGCTGAACTAGACATTTTTTATGGTGGTGGACAGGCTGAGAGCATTTCTCACAATGGGGTTAGCAACTCACCAGAAGTGAATGTGAGCTCATATACAGTATAGTAAGCTTTTTATGTAACCCTCACTTAAAAACAGACAAAAAATCTGCAACAGTTGCTGAAGTTATGCGTTTCAAATTGCTAAAGCTTATTAGAGAATGCAGTTTGAATTGCATAGACTTTTGTCAAAAGTGTCCCTGTTCAGCTCAGGTCGTCCACCTAGTTGAGACATCACATTATATCCATTCAGCCTTTAGTTTCTTTTCATGGCTCCAGATTGTGGCTTAACTTGGGCCTGACATTGAGCAGCAGTTTTATTTCCAGAGCTTGTCCAGAGTCTGTGCTGCAGAAATCCTACAAGTATTTCCAGACTCGCCTCACATAAGATTGCTGTTGTTGCTGGACATGACTGACAACACTGTGTTTCCCTGCCTCCTTCTTTTTCAGGTGATCGCAGCAGCCAAGCATGGCTTCAAGGCATCTGGCTATGAGCTGAACCCCTGGCTGGTGTGGTATTCTCGCTACAAGGCCTGGAGAGAGGGAGTCCACCGCTCCACCTCCTTCCACATCTCTGACTTGTGGAAGGTCAGTGGTTCCTGATTAGTGCAGTATATTGTGTATATAGGCTGCAAAAAAAACCTTTTAGTTCCAGACATTAGATTTTACCGAGTAACAAAATGGTGACTTTTCATTATAGTAATCTCAATGTTTCTGATTCTTTTGCTAGGTCAGTTTTGCTCAATACTCCAATGTTGTTATTTTTGGAGTCCCTCAAATGGTGAGTTCTGATGTTTCTAAGTTGTATAAACCTTATATTTATGACATTTTCTTAGTCTATATCAGTCTTGTTTGTGTCTGTGTCTGCAGATGGACCAGCTGGAGCTGAAGTTGGCGAGCGAGCTGCCGAGCACAGCCAAGGTGGTGGCCTGCCGCTTCCCTTTCCCTACCTGGGTCCCTGAACACACCGATGGGGAGGGCATAGACACTGTATGGGTGTACGATGCCAAGACATTTAAATCACACCTGCAACACGGGACGACGAGAAAAACAACAGCAGATCAGCAGGAGACACCGGATTTGCACACATGACATGCAAACACTAAGTTTTGTTGTGATCACATGTTGTAATCTGGAGATGGAGGTTTGTTTAATCCCTGTAGGTGCTACGAAGTGCATTGAATGCCCATCTTTGAGACGGAGCGTGAAGAAAGCAAGAAAAAGAGACTGACTCTGCCCTCAGTGAGCGCTGACACTTGTGTTAAAGTCAGCCATGTTTAAAGTGGAGTGATCCACAAAGACATATTTGACATGTGTCAACAACAGACCAAGGGTTAAGCAGAATGTAAACTGTGATGATGTGAGAAAGTCCTGATAGGAACAAGTGATACTGGCCATCAGTGGTTGCAGATGCAGTGCAAGTTTCAGTCTTTGAAATCATTAAAATCACCTTTTTTGTGGACAGACAAAAAGATGACAAATGTGCTGTATTATAAATAATTTTGTACAGAAATCTCCTGCACTGTACCACATTTTTCGCCTTGTGTGTGTCCTTCTAAATAAAAATCAACATGTGGCTCGCTGCTCTCGGGCTCCATCTAGTGGTGAAAACGCCGCACAATCACGTGCTGTTGTTTGAGTGTGTCCTGACCGCTAGCTGATCAACTATGAAGTAAAACAGAAAAAAAAGCCTGACTTACATTTGCAACGCACGGTGGCGTCCGTGATGACCGCAGATTGAACTGATCGCCAACTTGAAATGTTTACATGTAGATAACAAGCGGCTTTCATACAGTAGGCTGATTAACCGGACTGCTGTGGAGCAGCCAGTCAAGATGGACACCGCTGAGGAAGGTAGCTAATGTTGAAACTTGATTACCCTAATTGTTAAACGTTAACTTGTAAAACCATTCACACTAACATTGCATGTGTCATAGTCTCGGTCACTCGCAGCTGCAGTCGGTGGTGATATATTGATTTTGCATTTCGCTAAACTTTGACAAAGGAGCACCAGAATTAAAGAAACCGCTAGCCAATTAGCGTTAGCTAGCCAGCTAACTGGTGCTAGCTCCCATCCGTTAGCTGTAAACAAAATGAGCAGCGCTGGGTTTCTGCTGTTTTGCTTTCACAGTCACTACATGGACCACAAGTGAGTTGTGGCGGCAATATTTAAGTACGAGAAGACGACAAATTCACTACGAAGTGACACGTAAAGTAGATAATTATCTAGTTGCAAGCTGACGTTTAATAAGTTTAGCGAATGCAACCGTTATTCAGTGTGATAAGCAGCACACGGTTCTGTCAGTGCACAGGACTTGTTTACCAAGTTACACTGATTCATTCTAAAAATAAAATGGCACTGATGACTTTAAAATCTTCGATATACTATCTAATCTGGCAGTTGTCCTTATTCCTGGACTGTCGTATCATTACATAACCATTCTGACAATAAGAATGTGTGTTCATGTTTTCCTCACATGTAAACAGTAATAAGTAAAGTCAGTCACCAGTAAGCTCCAGGGCTATCCTCACTGCTCCTTCTTCCTGGGCTATTTATAGTCGTTTTATTTTGGTCATCCAGTGACACAGGTAATCCACGGATTATAGTTTACCCTAGTCTGACCTGGCCTGCTTTGTTAACTGCACTAATATATCACACACTCCAAATCTGACTCATCTGAATAACATACATGTTCTGCAGAAAACAGAGCAAGAGCTGCAACTGTTTATCAGTTAGTTGTTAATCTTTTGTTATTTCATGAATCATTTGGGTGCATTTTTAAGAAAATAAATCAATTTTGTCTAGACACTTACATGTATGTATGACAGTAAACTGATTATTGTTGGGTTTTGGTCAAAACATGACATTTAAGGACTTAATCGTGGGCTTTTGGAAGCACTGATTGACATTTTTCACAATTTCCTGACATGTTATAAACCAAACAAGTGATTTATTAATTGAAAATAACTGACAGAATAATCAACAATAAAACTGCAGCTCTCGTTTTAATTATTTTCATAGTTGGCATCACGTCTAAGGTGTGTTGTTAGTGTGGCTCAAGATGTGAAATATAAAGAAACACATGGTCAGGTTCATTGTTCTGTTCTGATGAGACGTAGAAGAAGCAAAAAGCCTCTGTCGAGAAACACATATGATGTTCCTTGTGGCCGACAGCCTGCCCCCAAGCACTGCACAGATAAAACTCCTAAAGCTGACTTTATTAAACATCAGGTCTTCAATCAATGATTTAATCACTGACCACAATCTTGATTTCATGTTTTTATCTGAAACTTGGTTAGACTCAAATAACTGTGCAGCTGTTCTTATTGAATCAAGCCCTCCCAGCTTCAGTTTAATCAGTGAGACAAGAGAGGAGGTGGGGTTGCAGTTTTATTCAATATTTTTTCAGCTTTTGAATAGATAGCTCTTCAGGTGTAGGCCTCATCCCAGGCAGTGTTTCTTAATATTTACAGGCCTCCTAAATACTGTGCAAATTTTTTTTTTTGATGATTTTAATGAACTGCTGGTGATGATCTGTATTGATTTTGACTGCGTTGCTATTGTTGGTGGTTTTAACATCCACATCGACAACCCTCAGGACAAAGGGACCGAGCAACATTTTTTACCACTGTGGGCTGACTCAGCATCTAACAGAGTCCACACACAATAGGGGGCACACTCTGGACTTGCTTATCTCCAAGGGTCTGAACCTCTCCATGATTGCTGTGGCTGATGTTGGCTTGTCTGATCATTCCTGTGTTTTCTTTGAGAGCAATGTCTCAGTGCACACAAATGTTGCAACAGAAGTAATCACAAAACAGTGTGTTACTGAAAACACCAGTGAGATCTTTAACCAGATCTTCAACAGCTGCCCTGTCCTGGGGCTCAGTCAGTGCGCTGATAGATGGCTTCAATGCTAAAATTGTGCATGTTTTGGATACCATTGCTCCTGCTAAGGTAAAGGATATTTCAGGTAGGAAAAAAATCTCCATGGAGAAATGCCACACTGGTGAGAAATATTAAAAGAGAGTGCCCGAAAACAAATCTGTATATTCATTATGAGATCTATAAAGAGCAACTGAGGAGTGCGAGGCAGTCCCATTTTTCTGACATCATCACCAAAAACAATAGTAATGCCTTATTTGCTGCTGTCGACAGGCTCCTGCGTCAGTAGCACCTCAACTTGACTCCACCAGCGCCTGTAACAAATTCGCCTCATTATTTACAGACAAAATCCCCCAAAATTTGACAAATGGTCTGCTTTTTATCCAAAGCGCTTTACAATGTGTTTCTCATTCACACATTCACACACCAGTGGTGACAGAGCTGCCATGCAAGGTGCTGCCTTGGGTTGGGCGCAACGTCCGGTTCAGTGTCTTGCCCACTAACTGTGGAGGGGCTGGGGATCGAACCGCCAACCTTGGAGGACAACCCGCTCTACCCCCTGAGCCACAGCCGCCAAGCAGTCAGCAGCAGCCCTACATCAGGTCCAGGCTATGTGCTGTGCCCACTTAAAACTAACTTAAACAACTTAAATCCCATGTGTAGTCCTGTGTAGTCAGACCTGAATTATGAAAAACACATTAAGGCCGTTACAAAGTCAGCCTACTACCACTTAAAGAATATATCAAGGATAAAAGGACTGATGTCTGAGCTGGACCTGGAAAAACTTGTCCGTGCATTTATTTTTAGTCGCCTTGATTACTGTCTTTGCAGGTCTACCTACAAAAATCAATCAGACACCTGCAGCTGTTTTAAAACGACGCTGCTCGACTCCTCACTAAGAACAAGAGAGTGGATCATATCACTCCAGTTCTGAGGTCTTTACACTGACGCCCTGTCCACCAGAGGATAGATTTTAAAATACTGCTGCTGGTCTATAAGGCTCTGAATGGTTTAGGCCCAAAATACATCAGTGACCTCCTGACACAGTGTGAACCATTCAGACCGCTCAGGTCGTCTTGGGCAGGTCTGCTCTCTGCTCCCGGAGTCAGAACCAAACATGGAGAAGCTACATTCAGCTTCTGCGCCTCACATGTTTGGAATGGTTTGTTTTAGTGATTTTAAATGGTGTCTTTTAATGTGTTTCTTCTGACGTTTTTCATTACATTTTAATGTGTCTGTGAAGCACTTTGAATCGTCTTGTTGTTGAAACGTGCGATATGGATAAACTTTCCTTGCCTTAATTGAATGAAATGTTGCAGGAGTATGGTATTGGTGTATGCAAACTCATGTTATTGTGTGCTTCCTGTACAGCGGACATCTGTCGGGTATGTCGGTCAGAGGGGACCCAGGACAAGCCGCTCTACCACCCTTGTGTTTGCACAGGCAGCATCAAGTTTATCCATCAGGAATGGTATGTCGGTAACAAAGCTGCTAATCTAAACATGTGCATGACTGTTTGCTCTTGGCTTTTAAGTGAAATGCTGGATGACGTCTAGGTAGACCTGAATAAATAATTGCACACCTGACAAACAGCATTAACAGCCAGATGATAAAATGAAAATGTTTTGGCACTGAAGTGCTCAAAAAGTTGTGCGATTTTTTTTACTGCATCCTCTCTGACGTTGAGTACAATTTGCCACGGGATGAAAAGCATCAACCTATTATGCGTTTATGTTTTCACAGCTTGTTGCAGTGGTTAAAACACAGCAGAAAAGAATACTGTGAATTATGCAAACACCGGTTTGCATTTACACCAAGTAAGTTGGTTGTTTTTCAGTAAAGTGCTTGAATATTTTTAATGCATGTTCTTTCATTTAGAGCTCCTCTAAACAGCTAACTGTGACGATGCCTTTTTGTCTCCAGTCTACTCTCCAGACATGCCATCTCGCTTGCCTGTCCAGGACATCTTTGCAGGCCTGGTCACCAGTATTGGAACAGCCATCAGATACTGGTTCCACTACACACTGGTGGCCTTCGCTTGGCTCGGCGTGGTGCCTCTCACAGCATGTACGTCACAAGTTGGGCTGCACCTACTGGTTACTTTTGTTTTTTTTGCCGATTAGTTTCTCAGTTAATCTAGGGTCCTCCCATGATAATTTACCCAGAATTAAGAACTTTTCCCAGGGACTTTCTCGAAGAAAAGAAAAAAATCCTTCTGAAGGATAGTTAGTTTTTTTTAACATAAGTTTATCTCTCAGAGCTGAATTTCATTATGAAATGAAATGAAATGAAAAATACTTTACTTATCCCAGAAGGGAAATTCAATTATGCAGTTCTTTGTCTTCTAAACGTCACCGATTGCACATATTTTGCTTGATTAAGTTGAAATGTGCACTGAACATCTGTGAAACCCTGAGAATAATCGCAAAATGTATTCATGGAAATAGTTGTAGCTGAATGTTTACAGTAATCAAATTAGCAAAAATCTATTTTTACAAGGAATCTTTAATTTCCAAAAATGAATGCCTCAGTTACATTTTGTTGCCTTGCAGTGTTAATATGGTTCTGTCTTATCTAGTGCATTAAAAGCTGACTGGCCTCACTGAATATACCATTGGAGCTGAAAAACACACTATTTCATGTAGATTTTCCACAAAAACCTCGTTTAAATTCCTTGAAACTTTTCAGTGGAAAAGTGTTTTTTAATAATAGCTTACTTTTTTTGACTTTTGACAGGCTGTGATATTACATTCAGTGGTTTTATATATCATAGGTCGGCATTGTAGTATGTTGACTTCATGGATTTTTATCTCTGTGTGACACCCATAGAGTCTGTTTTTCATTAGGATCAAGCAATTTACAAGTTAAAGCTTGTAGTGGTTTGGTTTGGTGCATACTAGATGATCCCATCTGAAAAGGTTAGATGAAGGTTGATATTTTTTCTTATGTGCGGTGAAACAAAACCTGATTTTGATCAATTTTCCAAAGTTGTGGTTTTGCAATGTTTTCACAGTTTTCTTTGTTGCTTCGTTTACCAAACGATTAATGACAAAATAATAGTCATAATATGCCTGTATGAAAATATTCACAATGAAAACAGCCCTACTTCTAAACCACAAGTGACCTCTTTAACAGAGAAATTAATTTCCCCATGTTTACTGGCAAACACGAATACTTGGAAACCTTTGTAACAATGAAAGCGTGTGGCATTGGGAAACATCCAAGGACTTTCTGTAGTTCAACTCCAAACTTTTGAGTTCACTTGATATGAGCAGATTTGCAAAAATACTCAGTTTGCCACAATTATTATCCTTCAGTCTTAACAATTGACTATTAAGTAAAGCATATCAACTCAGTTCATTTTAGTTCAAGGTGAATTGAATCACTTGTGCTCCAAATACAAGATTTAGTTTAGCATGAAGAGCAATGAATTTCCAAGAATTTGAACCAAAGTTTTTAGTTTTCAGTTCACCCCATCTGACAGTTAAAGAGATGATCCTCGTGATGTTGTTGTTGTTATTGACATTACTGCCCTTGTTTTTGTCTGCTTTCCCAACAGGTCGTATCTACAAGTGTCTATTTACCGGCTCCGTGAGCTCTCTCCTTACCCTGCCCTTAGATATGCTTTCAACGTAAGTCTCTGGGTATATATTGTAGTTCTGTGTCTTCATGTCTTGGAGTTTTTTTTTACGTCTGTGTCCCAAATTTATAGTCTGATGGACCCCTTAGCGCTGTCACATGAGCTGAAATACTGCTGTATTCACGCCACCCATCATGTTGAAAATATGTTTATTTGAATTGGCTCTAAACTTCTGTTCATGGCATTGAGCTGTCTCTTTCAACTGTAGACTTGCAGTAAGTCTTTGGCTCACACTAGACCACACATCATGTATTGAATGTTTCAGGATGAATACACATCTTATTCTCCCCCCTCTCAGCTACGATGTTAGCCTCAGGTCCCACACGTCCATCAGAATAGCGATTCGTACATGTTTCTGCAGAATAACCAGTTTTGTGGATTGGAACCGACCATGAAATTCACACAGTTAACGTGGAGGGGGAGGGGTTCATTTATCCATGTCAACCATTTATGCATAACTGTTTAGCCCTCAGCGCTTTCTCTCCCTCACTGCTTTTTATACACTAGTTTTGCAACACAGGGGTCAGAAGTTACAGGTTGCTCAATATGTGTTTTTTTTCCCTCAACAACTAAATTTCTATTTCTTTTAAATTAGTTGAGCTGCTTTGCAAAAATAGAAACGTGCCAATGTCTTCCTCGCAGGCAAAACCTGCTTGCCGACTGCCTTCAGGGCTGTTTCGTGGTCACGTGCACGCTGTGTGCCTTCATCAGCCTGGTGTGGCTCAGAGAGCAGATTGTCCACGGTGGCGCCCCTCAGTGGTTGGAGCAGAATCAACCCCCTCTGGTTCCGAACCAGCCCAACGGCCCGGCACCAGCTAATGAGGTAAGTTCGAATTCTGCTAAAGACCAACTAGGTTCACTGTCGGTGTAGGTTCCCTCTTATATGCAGTCCAATGCACTTTTATTCTGCATGTCCCATTTTTAAAAAATTGCAAAAAATAGTCCATTTGTAGGCTGCAAGTTGGCTCGGTGGTTAGTACCATGGCTTCGCAGCAAGGGGGTCACCGGTTCGTATCCCAGTGAGGACACCCGGGATCTTTCTGCGTGGAGTTTGTGTGTTCTCCCCGTGCAGCGTGGGTTCTCTCCAGGTTCTCCGGCTTCCTCCCACACAGTCCGAAAACATGCTGAGGTTAATTGGTGATTCTAAATTGTCCGTAGGTGTGAATGTGAGTGTGCTTGGTTGTCTGTCTCTAAGTGTAGCCCTGTGATAGACTGGCGACCTGTCCAGGGTGTCCCGTGCCGTCACCCTGAGTCATCTGGGATAGACTCCAGCCCCCTACCACACTAGTGAGGATTTAGCAGTATATAGATGATGGATGGATGGATGAATGGATAGTCCATGAGCTGTAACCAGATTCTGTAAAAAAACAAAAGAAATGTGTGAAAATTCATCACATCCAAGAGAAGCCCCTCTGCTGCAACCAATAATCACGTGACAATAGTTAGGTCACGTTTTTGGCTGAGCTGGGTTGAACTGCAGGCTGTGCTCACAAAGAACAGACAGGAAACAAGGATGTAGCAAATAATTATAATTATCAAGTAAGTATCAAAATATCTATAATATATCAAACCAATCTTTTCTTTTCCATTATTGGTAACACCTGTGGGAGCTTGGAAATGTGTCGTACAATGTTGTAATGTTGTAAAATGTTGATTTCAGTTTTTTTTGTGTGAAATGAGCAATCAAAATAATTAAATTTCTTTTTTTAAATGAATTATGAAATTATAGCTTTGTCATATTGAACAAAATAGATTTTTGAGTTCTGTCTGTGTTTGGCCTTGCTTGTGCTGTTTCTATTGAGGTGCAGGACTTAGTATTACAATAAAATATGAGCCTGCCATGATAGAAATGTGACAAAAACACACACAAACTGCCTGGGGCTAGCAGGGTGGACAAATGAATAATTAAAGTTATACATACAACAGCACATATTAAAGACTCTGCCTACCTGCTATAACTGCAAGTGGTCGAGCAACAGTCTGTTAGTGATTATTTAGTTGAAAATTTGCCTATTCATAAAAGCTACTCCTAATAATGATCCCTTTAGGAGGATAAAACTTCTGGTCAGAAGAAATCTAAACCTGGTAGGCTAGCCTACACAATAACACAACATTAGGCTATAATGTTTGATTAGTGTTTGGTTAGTTACCTGAACATAATCAACATCACGTGAGGACAAAAAGTTCATAGAAGAAGCCGTTCTATATTGTTTATTTCATTGTAACATCATAGTATAGTAGAGTTAATGTTTCTAAGTTTTAAAGTCTGGTTTATGTTGCAGTGTAGGGAGCAAAACAGTCACTCTGCTCCAGCTATCTGCAGTAAGATGGAGTTAACATGAAAACAAGAGCTGAAGCCCCGTTATGCCACAAGAGGGAGTAAATCCTTTGGTGAGTGCCTCTGTCAGGAGTAAACAAAGACGAGGCAGGACAGAAACGAGCATCAACACACTGTAGTGTGGAACACTCACATGGCCACAGAACCTATCGACAGTCAGTAGTGACCTGCAGTAGCCTCATCGCTCTACGATCAGACATAGATGTAGGTCATTTGATCTCATCAGACAAACATGCAGAAATGGAAATGTCAAACTATTGAAATTTTAAATTCCTGACCACAGAATGAGTAAATTGGCTTTTCTCTGTCAGGTTTTTCATTACTTTTGAGCAAAACTAAAAACACAATAGGCTCAGTCATTTAAAACCATGTTGACAATACAGCAGGCAAATAAAGCACGCTTCCAGAGGTTTTCACTGGAATACCAAACCCACTCAGCCCTGGTTCACCTTTTGATAACAAAGATCTCTAAAAAAATCGTCCCACTTTTGCGTTTTGTGTTGCTGGAAACTGTCATTTTCCTGTTGGATTTGTTGTATGAAAACTGTTCTAAAGAAAGAATTCAAAATTCTGTTTTGAGGGTAGAATTACCCAGAATGCAGCCCTATTTCCATTTTTAAAATGTTAATACAAACAATTATAATCCCCCCCTCCCCCAAAACAACTTATTTTTGCTTTTGCTTCAGAATAGGAGATCGATTAAGACAGATGTGTACAGGCTGACCTACTAAACCCAAAGCTTCCCCCATATTTGACCACTAATGTTCTCTGGCATAGTTGGCACAGCGACAGGCTCGTATCTGCAAAAGATAAGCCAGTAGAATTTCTATTTACACAAGATATTCACTTTGTTGACTTCTAAAACAAAGTTTATTTAAAACCAGGCTGTTTTGTCACATTGAGTTTAATTAAAGTACTTGAAATAGTGAGAAATAATTAATGCATGTTTATCTTTGCTGCTTTTCTGTGTTGGGTCACATTTGTTTTTGCTTGTGTGGTTTGGCCAACATTTCTTCTCTCAGGGGGAAACTTGAGGACATTTATCTTTTCCGATGGAGACTGTGCTTGCCAAGCTAGCAATGACATTTGTCTGCGTTTCCACATAACCACATGAGTAAAGCAGCGCTTTCCAGATATTGTCCGTCCTCTGCTGTCGTTATTGGAATGAGACACACAGTTCAGGACCGAAATATCTTCACAAATGACAAAACAGTTGCTTATATTTTCTCCACACTTTGTAGCCGTCCTTGGTGACTGGCAATTTGTAAACTATGAGTGTAGTTAATGAGCAAATAAGAACTCTAATGTTACCTCATTAAACTGAATGCAGGTTTGGCTGTTGTTAATGAACTGTAATATGTCTTGTTACGTTTTCGTGTTTCTGCAGGGTGGTAACGCTGCAGTCAACGCCCAGGCTGCTGCAGACGCCGCAGCTGCCCAGCACCCTGCTGACCCGGCTCCAGACCAGCCGCCACCCGCCAACCCGCACGAAGCCGGCAACCACGGAGATGAGGCCGAACTGGACGATGATGAGGAGGACGACGACGGGGAGGAAGACGAAGAGGAGGAGGAGGAGGATGAGGAAGGCAGGGAAGAGGATGCTGCTGATGCCAATAATGGAGGGCAAGGTTAGTGAGCATTAAAACATTATTATCTTTAAATAGTTGTTCTAGGGCTGCAGGGTGGCAAGAAGGTTGCCGGTTCGCGTCCAGATGGGGGCACCGGAATCTTTCTGAGTGGAGTTTACATGTTCTCCCCGTACAGTGTGGGTTCTCTCCGGGTTCTCCGGCTTCCTCCCACACAGTCCAAAAACATGTTGAGGTTAATTGGTGATTCTAAATTGTCCGTAGGTGTGAATGTGAGTGTGCTTGGTTGTCTGTCTCTAAGTGTAGCCCTGCGATGGACTGGTGACCTGTCCAGGGTGTCCCCTGCCTTCGCCCTGAGTCAGCTGGGATAGACTCCAGCCCCCCACGACCCTAGTGAGGATTAAGCGGTGTATAGATAATGAATGGATGGATGGATGGATGGATAGTTGTTCTACCAGCTGCACTGTAGGCACTTAACATATTTTTCCGTAAATACATTTATTGAAATGTGATAATCAGTCATTTAATGTGGTTGTTGTAATTAAATGGACAGAGCTGTTTCCTCTCTGAAGAAATCCAAGAAAACAACCTGCACATTAATGCAACAATGGGAGAATATTTGACAGTACATTGTGGTTGTTCTTTACCATCTCTGTTGTGTCTGTTTCTCCTTTGCAGAAGACTTGAACTGGAACGCCCTGGAGTGGGACCGTGCAGCAGAGGAGCTGACCTGGGAAAGGGTGGGAATCTAGTTTTTTTATTCCTCTGCCTCCTGCTCCATAAAGTGGAGTGATGTAGCTGGGCCGCGATGCTAAAAAAGCAAAATATAAGGAGGGATGGTGCAATTAAATTTGGGCTAAGGGCTTTTGTGTGGTTTGCATACACAGCGCTCTGAATTCCTGTGCGTTTCTGGGTGCTGTCGGTAGCTGACCTGTGGTAGGATCAATAAGGGAGTTTTCCTTTGTGTTAATAGGAGTTGTGGTTGTAGTGAAATTGATTTCTTTAAGTGGTGATTATGACATTGCTCTGGTTTGTTTCCCAGATGCTAGGCCTGGATGGTTCCCTAGTTTTCTTGGTAAGTATACACCCTTGTTCTAACACTATTTCAAATGTTCCTTCTGTTAACATGTACGTATCATTTGTACTTTTTAAAATGTGAACCTTAGGAGACATTAAATCTGACCTGTTTGAAATCAAAAATGATGAAATCCCCTCCAAAGATGAGGCTGTTTGTAGAGTTTGGTTTCAAACTGAACCAGATTTCATGCAGCGTTAACGAAGCTCCCTGTTGTGTGTCCTCTGAAGGAGCATGTCTTCTGGGTTGTGTCTCTCAACACGCTCTTCATCCTGGTCTTTGGTAAGTCAAACACGCAACTACATGTAGTCACTGCTCTCCTGTGAGAAGCTACAATATGAATGTTGATATGAGGAGATAAACAGGATTTTCATTATAGTTCAGGGATGGTGAGACAGTCCAACGGTGGGAGAGAGCCTTGTGGACCTTCTTACACTTTGTGCTAACATGGCTTTTGTTTTTCTCGTTAGCTTTTTGTCCGTACCACATCGGCCATTTCTCAGTGGTTGGACTGGGCTTTGAAGACTATGTAAGTGCTTGTACAATTCCAGAGTACTGTTTGAGTTTGTCCTGCACTCTCAGACTTTTATTTGATGATGATGATGATGTTGTGTTTGACTGCAGATCAAAGCTTCACACTTTGATGGCCTCATCACCACCATACTGGGATACATCCTCCTGGCTGGAGCTCTCATTGTCTGCCATGTATCCTCCACATATTTCAAATTACTTGATGTGCATGAAATGATCTACACATAATGTGAAGTTGTTGCATCAGCAGTTTAATTTGTTTTAAGTATAGTTTGTGCTTAGGTGTTTAAAATTTCTGTAACATTTGCCATAAACTTGCTATAATTAGTTCTTAGGTCCTCACTCATTTATTGACATCCATGTTTGTCCTGTAGTTTTACATGCCTGCCTTACGAGTAACGTATTCATACAGGAAACTCAAGAGAAATGGTTCAGGGACCCATTGTGGCACTGAGACAATGTGTTAAAGTTGTGCCTACACAAGATGTTTTTTTCCATTTTATTACTACTCAATAAGAGCTGCAAGCTGTTGGTGTCACACTGTGTGAGTCCTTAACTGCCCCTCCTTTAGGCATTGGCTTCATTATTGAAGTTCCAGCGGTCCAAACGCCTCCTGGGTGTCTGCTACATTGTTGTCAAGGTAAACTAGAGAGATGCAGCTCTGAGGTATTCTCAGTAATCGCTGTTGATTTTGTGTTTATCAAACTAGCGAAGCTCTCAGTTAAAACAGCAATTAGGAAAATGATGATTACATGAAAACAGCAACTAAATTGGAAGTTGTTTTTTTTTTTTTTTCATACGTCGCAGGTGTCCCTGCTGGTTGTCATGGAGATAGGCTTGTTCCCGCTGATTTGTGGTTGGTGGCTCGACATTTGTTCGCTGGTAAGACAAACACGCAGAGTGAACTCAGCTGATCCTGTTGATACAACCACATACTGGTTCCTAATGACACTCAAACACAACGCAATCATGGCGATGCATCGTGTACAAATTTGATCAAGAGAAAAAGTCTCAGAATATTACACTGATTGAACCAATTCATGAAAACTGATTTAGATTTAGTCCTTGACATTAAAAAGCCTGTCTCTCTATTTATTGCAGGAGATGTTTGATGCCACTCTCAAGGACAGGGAGCAGAGCTTTGACTCGGCTCCTGGCACCACCATGTTCCTCCACTGGCTGGTTGGTATGGTCTACGTCTTCTACTTTGCCTCCTTCATCCTCCTGCTCAGAGAGGTAAGTGGAGGATGTCATCAAGTCAAAGTTATGCGCTGTGACACAAAAACTCAAAAAACATGGTGTCTGAGATCTTAAGCTTTTGCGTGTGTGTGTGCAGGTGCTGCGGCCAGGTGTGCTTTGGTTCCTGAGGAACTTGAACGATCCAGACTTCAACCCGGTCCAAGAGATGATCCACCTGCCCATCTACAGACACCTCAGGAGGTTTATACTCTCTGTGGTCAGTCAAATGTCCTCCTGCTTTATTCTTCCCCTAGCTTTAGTGGCATGACAACATATAGATTTGTTTACTTTACCATTAAATGCACAATACAGAACTGGAGGTGTACGGGCATTGTGTAGATTTGCTAAAACATTGCACATAATAATAGATTGAAGCACATAAACCAAAGAGGTGGATTTTCTTTCATTTACCTGCAGTATAGTGGTATCTACTTTGCACAGAGTTTGGCTTTAATTTGTCAGGTTTTACAAAGTCTGTCCCTGAGATTTCTCCACTTGAGTTCAATGAATAGAGTTGAGTGAAACTTCTTTTTTCTCACAGCACTAAAACTGACATTTAAAAAAATTCAACACAAAGAAATGTCCTTGTTATTCTGGATAAATCTAAGGCTTCAATAACTTGTATTTAATCTATTCTATCATTTGATCTTCTTCATCATCAATAGTCCCAGTGAGAAGTGTTGACTGGCAAGTCAGTGGATTGTCGTACTGCAGCATTGTGTCTGTTTTGAGCTCTTTCAATGAAACATGATTCATTACCGCTGCGTTTATGTGACTGCATAAACCGTAGATATCCCATAACTTGCTCAAATATAACCAAATCTGTCCGCATTGCTAGATACCACGAGCACAGTGGTTCTCTTTAGGAGTTTGGGCTCCTACTACTAAAGTAGTTTTTGAACTAACACGTCTATTATTTCCACAATCTCTATTTCAAATGCAGCTGTACCTGAGAAAATGTTTCATTCCAGCAGTAGTTATGTAGTGATATTTGACAGCGATGCACTGGAGAACTCTTGAATGTAAATGTATTGAAGACTCTCTATGAATGTGGTATTTCTTGTATACGTATAACATTGAACGTTTGACATTTTAAACCTATGCGCCAGTAAATAAAACGAACATGACTTCAGTAATGGGTAGCAGTCAGGGCCAGTCAGAAGCAGCATTAGCTTCTAATGCCAGGTTTACTTGCGGTGTGTTGACTCTTCTGTCAGCGTGCATGGCAACTTATTAAATTAGTAGTAGGGTATGCGCTGCTGCAGACATCTTTTATGATACCGCAGCACATTTTGAAGGCTGCTAATGCAGTGTAAACATGTCAGCTAGGGTTGTACACAGTAGTCGGAGTATTTCATTAAGTATGGGAATGCTGTGGATGGCTTGAAGCAGGTGTGTGAGAATACAAACAAATACAGAGAGACGTTTTTTCTTTCAGTATTTAGCTGAATGTCAGACTTTTTTGGTTAATCCTGAGGATCTTGATGAGAAAACGCTTGTTTGTAATTTGAGAGAACTGATCTTGTAATTCTATCTTTGAACAAGTTTCATGAGTAAAATGGGGGAAAAAAAGATTGTGGATATTATGGGTAGATGATTGGTGCAGGTTTTGAAGGAACCCAGTGCATATTGAGTATTTCTGTATTTCCATGTGGTAGTCCTGGAATATTTAGCATGTTTACTAAAGAAACGCTGGTATGTGATTGTTTATGTGTCTGTTTGTGCATTTCCAGGTTGTGTTTGGCTCCATAGTTCTACTGATGCTTTGGCTTCCCATCAGGATCATTAAACTGCTCTTCCCAACCTTCCTTCCCTACAACGTCATGCTTTACAGGTACACTAAGTCATCATTTAACATTCAGTGTCTGTAAACTAGAGATGACAGTGGCTATTTTCTATTCAGGTAAAACTCAAATTGGGAGCCACTAGAGAAAATGAGCTGCCATCTATATTATATCATAAGTGTAAATGGAGTTTGGTTTCTGTGGTGCTTCTGCAGCGATGCCCCGGTCAGCGAGCTGTCGTTGGAGCTGCTTTTGCTTCAGGTTGTTCTGCCGGCGTTGTTGGAGCAGGGTCACACTCGCCAGTGGCTCAAACGCCTCGTCCACGCCTGGACATTCACAGCTGGATACGTGCTGTAAGCTGGATATACGCAACAACACACACACACACTGCACATTTAGATGTGACCGGGTACAATGTAAAACTTTGCCGGCTTTAAAGATCTTCCACGATCATAGTTGGTTAGTTTTCTCTACATGTCCTTTGCTATCACGACATTTTTCGTGTATGGTAATAAAGTATTTGCTCTCATGGCCCCCTTCCCACAGTGACCTTCACTCATACCTGCTAGGCGACCATGAAGACGAAGACAACCAGCCAAATAACCCTCCCGGTCGCCATAACAACAACCGGATTCCCGGTCTGGGGGAGGGGCTTCACGCTGCCCATCAGGCCATCCTGCAGCAGGGAGGTCCAGTGGGCTTCCAGCCGTACCACCGGCCCATCAACTTCCCCCTTAAGGTGACCGACAGCTGGATAGTTACCCATATCAGTGTCATGTTGATTGTGAAGCTCATACTTATTGTTATTTTGTCTGTCTTTTGTTTAGATCGTTCTGCTCATTGTCTTCATGTGCGTGACGTTGTTACTCGCTAGTCTGATCTGCCTTACGCTGCCGGGTAAGTCACATGAGGCATTGTCTTTATACTACCTTTGCTCTTCCCTGTTCTCAGTCAGTGAAAGGTATTCTCCTCTCTCTTTTTTCTACACTTTACTTTGTCCTCTTCCTCTGACACAGTGTGCGTGGGTCGATGGCTGATGTCTTTCTGGATGGGCAGCGCCATGGTTCATGAGCTGTACACAGCAGCCAGCGGCCTATACGTCTGCTGGCTGTCCATTCGAGCCGCCACAGTGATGCTGTCCTGGATGCCACAGGGACGGATGGTCATCATGCTCAAAGTCCACGAATGGACACTAATGGTAATTTAGATGTGTCTCCGCTGTCAGCCGAAGACAAAGCTATAGCTCCGTGTGTTATATGGTAACCTGCTGTGTTTTGCTGTGTGTAGATCCTGAAGACCATTGTGGTAGCCGTGCTGTTAGCGGGGGTGATTCCTCTGCTGTTGGGTCTGCTGTTTGAGCTGGTCATCGTCGCTCCTCTCAGAGTCCCACTGGACCAGACACCTCTCTTCTACCCCTGGCAGGTAGGACTGTGTGTGAAAATAAGTTAGATATCACTCGATCTGATCCATCTGCGAAACCGTAAACTGTTTAGTTCTTTTGTCAGAAATTGTTCATGTTGTGGTGCATTCATGTTTGTTTGTTTTTTGCAGCACATTAAGAATAATTCTAATTTTATTGAATAATTCTGAATTAAGATGCAGTTTCTGGAAGAATGTGTTCTTATGTAATCTGGAAAAAAAAGTTTGTACCTCTACTAAAACATTGACCAAACTGCCAACTAATTACCAGTCAGTGCCCTTTTGAAAAAGGCAACCATGTTGCCTTAAAATTGGGCAGATGATGAAACTTTGTGACAGCTTCATTGTGTTTTGGTTGTAATTTGACTGCTGCTCTTTGTGTGCGTGGCAGGACTGGGCCTTGGGTGTGCTTCATGCTAAAATCATCGCTGCCATAACGTTGATGGGGCCTCAGTGGTGGCTCAAAACCGTCATTGAGCAGGTCAGTCTCACAGTCTTCAAACTGCATTCAGTTAACAAGAACAAAACAGGAACTTCTCTTTGCTCCCCAAAGGACAAAAACAAGTGGAACTGGTACTGGAATGAGGTCAAGTAAATCACTGTCTCCATCTCCTGCAGGTCTATGCCAACGGCATCAGGAACATCGACCTCCATTTCATCGTGCGAAGGCTGGGTGCCCCAGTCATCTGCGTCCTGCTGCTGTCTCTCGTCGTGCCCTACACCATCTCAAAAGGCATCACACCACTGCTGGGTAAGTCTGAATGTTTATGTGTCTGACTTGAGCATGGATTTTCTGGTGCCTTAGTCGACCCTAACATCGGTTTTCAGGGTAAAAGAGGACCAGTTTTTTGCTTCTGTCATCGCTCCTCTGTTGTGTGTCTCTCTGCTCCAGTTTTCTCTCTGAGAGGGATCAAAGATGGTGTAATGAAGAGAAACACCTCTGTTTTTGTTCTCCCTGTTTGAAGTTTTTAATATTCATTGGTAATTTACACACCAGATTGCTTAATAGGTGCTTCCTGGTTGTATTATTTCAGCTGTCTTTTTAAACGCAGCCTTAGTTTCCTGGTCAGAGTGCACATTGTCTTTTTATCAAAAGCTGTCATGAAATCTGTGTACTCCAATGGGAAGTGTAAAAAAAATAAAAGTATCTCATTTAACCACAAAAACTAAATGTCTGGACAAGTAAAGTAAAGTAAGTGTAGTTTTAAGCCTGGGCGACAAAGCGATAGTGAAATGTCCAGGCTGTCAGTAGTTATTGATATCAACCGAAATTAAACATTTGATCATGATACATTTTTTAAGGACTTCGCTTAGCCATGAATAATTCATCAAATTAGAGCCGTGCTTGGTGTTTATTTCTAAGTAACTGAAACAAGTCTTCAACTTTTATTTGTTGCTCATTTTGTTTAGGTTTCAGACTAAATTAGGAGCAAATGAAATTGGGGAACAAAGACAGCAGCCGCGCTCAGGCCACAGTGCAGGCAGATCCTCACTAATTTGAACACAGGGCTCATTTGAGAGCTGCTTTTCATTCAAAGCCCACCCAAGGCACCAATTGTAGTTCAGACAAGTGTTTTTGATGTTGACTTGGACAACAGTTGCATTTAAACAACTAGTCAATTAAGTTCCCGCGGCCCTTGTGGGGATAGAGATTGTAGCTGTTGTGCAAAATAAAGTGCAGCTGATTAAGTCACGCCATGCTGTTTTATTAAACTGAATTATTTGCTTTTTGCCAACCACCTGCTCTCAGCCTCTCTACTCCACTCCATCAGCTCCCAGAGACAGGACTTCACAGACTTGCTCACTCATTAAAAGGAGATTCTGCTATTCTGTCTGTCCTCCTCACTCTTTGCAGGAGTGCAGCCAGAGATGCAGACGCTGGTGGAGAGGAGAATCTATCCGTTCCTGCTGATGGTGGTCATGCTGTTGGCCATCCTGTCCTTTCAGATACGTCAGTTCAAGCGCCTCTACGAACACATCAAAAATGACAAGTTAGTAGACCTTTATAACCTTTAATGTCACCTTACAAACAAACAAGCTTTGGGTTTTAGTCTTTCCAGAGAACAGGCTGCAGGATATGAGACAAAAAATATAACCGTTTTCAGATCATAAAGATTCACCAGAAGTAGAAAATCTGACTTAGAAATGTATCTCAGCTGCTGCCAGAAAATTGTATTTCTGCAAATTTACTCAGAGTGTAATCTACATTTATTAGTCCTACCATCTGGTACGCAATGTTTGGTTCAGGATGAGACTTGCTGGGTTTGATAAACACTAAGATCCAAATATTAACTTTACAAGTTTATATCGTTGAACGTAGTAGGAGCTACATTAAGTTCCTCCCCAGATGCTTTGGCACGGCACCAGTTGTTCCTTTCTATCAGCTATAGCATGCTAGCAGGATTAGCTGGGAGGATGCTGTAACACTATGATTAAACAGATGTGATGAGTGAAGTCACACTACACGTTTTAATCTGCCTTCCTGTAGCAAGAATCTTTGACTTCTCGCTCACATTGTTTGGCTCAATCAGCCGAGGAGCTTGTTTTGTCTGCTTATAGTTTAGAAATTAATAAATTGATTCTGATTCTTCTTTTTCTTACCGATAGTATACATTTGAATTCCTTGACTGTTATATTAAGAATAACTAGATGCATTTTAATGTAATCATTAAAAATAAACACAAAAAAAGTTTTCTCTGCTGTGCCGAAAGAGCACCGAACTGTGACTCCAGAACCAAGGCTCATATCGAACAGGGAATTTTGTGAACCATCACACAAGTCATGTTGGCATACAGTTCAGTTTTATTGTCAATGCAGGAGACCCCGAAAACTGAGTGTTTACGAGGCTGTAGGATCCAAAATATGACAGAATAGTGACAGATGCAATATCAAAGTTACAGTTCAGCCACAGTCGCCAGATTTCTTGCAGTCTGTTGGAGAGTGTTTGAAATGTTTTGTAGCTGGTTAAAAATAACAGTTGGTCACGTTATCAGCTGTTAGTATGGTGTGTACGTTCTGTGAGTGTGTGCCAAAGCTGCCTTTCTTTCTTACTGAGGAAATGTTTCTGTCGTTGTAAATGAGGGTGGAACGTTTTAGTAGAGTTGAATTATGTTTCTAAAACACCACTAAACTATGTTTCTCGTTCCTCCTCCAGGTACCTGGTTGGGCAGCGACTGGTGAACTACGAACGCAAGGCAGGCAGGAGCACGTCCACCTCCTCCTTCAGCACCTCCTCATAGACTCTGCTGTAGGATCAGTGGAGCCGACTCACTCCGCTCCACATCGCCAGCTCCTGCGGTGAAAACTTTTAGCTCTCTCCCTGCTTGGCTGTCGACTTCAAACAAAACCTCTAAACTTTGGACTGCAGCCTCAGCCTTTTATTCACCTGCATCAACACCTACAGCAATCACAGGTCGGGGAGACGCGGAAGACAAAAACACCCAAGTCTTCACGGAAAAAGAAGAATTTCCGAACGAGGTTGTTTATCAACCCGCAAGAACTGTCAGCATGACTGAATCTCAGCAGAACCACAAACTGTCCGTCTCGGTAAACGTGTCCGGGTTTCGCCTCCGATGCAGCTGATGTTTTCATTTGTATTTACTTTGTTTTTACAAAGGTTTGGGTGGAAGTCAGGTCACTCGAGCATAGCTTTTACCTCAGATTGTGCTTCCCTTTGAATGTCTGTTGTGAAATATTGTCTCAGTCGCACAGAGTGTCTTTTAGACATTTTCGGAGCAGTGGAGCAGATATTTGGACGATAATAGGGACGCCTCCGTGGTCCTGTTTCCATTGCTGGTTTTTCTCAAATGACACCCTTCGTCAAGTCGAGGCTGTCAGTGAAAAGGAGGGACATAGATGATGTGGCAATGTGATTGTATTGTTTTTAGATGTTTTTTATTAGGTGTGTTTTCATTGATTTTTAGTGTTATTTTTCTGGAGTGAGCCGGTAGATAGTCCTCTGAGGATTCCTTTGAACTAAAGACGTAGAAAAAGAAAAGAAGAAAATGACATATTTTGTGGACACAGCTTGAGACGTGTTTTTTTTTTTTTTTCTCCCTCCTGTGAGTTTTAACAACAGTTCTGGGCTGTGTTGTACCGTTCTGAGCTCTCGGTCGGTTTCACACATTTCTAAACAAGGTGAATTGACCTTCAGGAGAGGAGAGGCAAGAAAGTACAAAACAGCAGAGTACAGCACAAAACTAGTGGCGTGCAGCATCCGGATTCTTTTTAATTATCGTTTTCATGTAAGAACAGTCTTGAGCCAATATCTCCATCCACGTTAAAGCATTAAAACAGGTAGCTCTCCTCCTAATATGCAGCCGACACACAAGTGAGGCAACCACACAAATCCACCAACGACAGAACACTATACTGTTTCCATTTGCGCAGCAGAACCAGAACTTGCTTTTAAATTCTGGTGTAAAGTCGGCAAAGCGTTGCTGCTGTTATTATTGTGTTCCAAGAAAACTATGAAATGCCACCGTCTGGTTTGTCAGCGATATACGTGTTTGGAAAAGTTGCGTTTTTGGGGGAAGAAAGACGACGTTTGATTGAGGACAGACAAAGATATGTGTTGTGAATGTACCAAGTTTAGAACATTTAAAGTGGACGGTCTCAGAATATGTCTGCTGAGGAACACTGATTATGTAAAGAAATATTTATTCAGAACATAAAGCAAATAACCGATTGTCAGGCTCATAGTGCTGCTAATCAGCTGTTCTGTCTGTCTGTGTGGATCAGAGGTGAAAGTTAAATAGAAAATAGTGACTTTGATTGGAGAAAGGGACTCTCGTGATCTACACTAATCTACAGCTTTATGCCTGTAACTGAAAGAAGACACTACTCGATCAAATACTGGGCTTCCTTTAGGAATTTTCTTGGCAGAAATAGAAAGGTTCAACACTTTACCTTTTGTCACTACATAGCTCCATCTAATCACCCAAATGCTCAGTTCGTCAGGTCGTAATGTAGCTCATCTCTTGTGTTGGAAAAGCCTAAAAAAGCATCAACTGCAGACAGTGAGGGTTGTCTACCCACTGACACCGTCTTTACAGTTCTCTGCTCCGATTGGTCAGAACATATGGGTGTCACACAAGACAAGAAGAAAAACATTTCTTTCTTTATTTATTTTTTTCTCTGGAAATCTTCAGGTGCTGCTTCTTAACAGGATCATTGTTGTGCTGAAGGCCCTCCGTCTTTCGGGTCGGGCCATTAACATGCATCACATCGTCTGAACTCAGACTGTCTGGCTTAAACAACACCTTTGTGGTGCTTCTGGACTTGAGGAAAAGAGGAATATTTCAGTCTGTTCTCGTTCCCAGTGCGTCAGATGCTGCCATTTTGTCAAAGCAGCCGGCATCTCAGACGCACACAAGCTGTCCTTTGGTGTCGACGCCACCCCTCATCAATATTCAACGCTGATAGATGGTTACGGGTTGTTCCAGTTTAAGAGAGCCTTGTAAGGAAGTGGAACCTCTACCACTCTGTCTCAGACCATTGTTCACTTGGTCTTATTTTGTTGGTTAAGTCTCGTTTTCATTTGCTGTTTGGCTTTAAATCAGAATCAAAAATACTTTATTTATCCCTGTTTGGAAAATTCTCTGAACAAGTGAGTGACTAGAAATTCGAAGCAGTGATTCTCACATACAGACAGTGAAGAGAAACAGAAAACAACCTCCTGCAAAAGGGTGAGAATAGGCGAAGTTCTCATGGTGTTCTGACTTCCCGCTAAAAACAGCTTGTCCTCATCTCACACTCACAAGGTTCAATAGAGGCAATGGACATTCACAGCATTCTAATAGACTTTGCACAAAGATCATTGGATCTTAACATAGAATTATTGTAACAGTCCCTGAGGAGAGATTCTTTTTCCTTGCATGCACATTTCCTGCCCAAGAATAATAAAAATAAAGAATAAAATGATACATAAAAGGTAATAGATAAATATCAAAGTACAAAAAATATCAACCTCTACAAAAAAAATGTACACACACATATATATATATATAGTTAACGTGCAGATGGTATGAAGATTTGTGCAGAAACAGTATCATATTTAAAATGAGGAATTTAGCAATTTGACGGCAACAGGTGGGAATGATTTCCTGTGTCGCTCTGTGACAGCAACAGTCTACTGCAGCTGGTCAGCATGTTGTGGAGAAGATGAGAGTCCAGAATAGTCCTGATTCTGGACAACATCCTCCTCGGACACCACCATCAGAGAGTCCAGTTCCTCTCCCACAACTTGGCTAAAATACACCCTTTGACAACATTAAGCATGTTACAAAGAGAACTTGACAGCAGTGGCGACACCAGATGAGAGCATGTGGCGTTGGACTCATGATGTCTATTTATTTTTATTTTTTTAGGTCTTTGTATTTAAATGTGACATCAAAGTGACAAAGCGGCAGTATGTGATAGAAAGCAGTGGAGAGCTGAAGCTGACTCACAGGGATTCTTTTAAATCAACTACATTCCTTCTCACAGCTGCATCTCTGATTTACCTAAAGTTTAACAATGACTCTGGTGAGCAGGAACGAATCGCAGTCGGGCGTTTAAGTTGATTTTCCGAGCAAACGCGTACACTACCCGCATCCAATATCCACAAGTAGTAGCAGAGCTATTCACTAAATACGTGCTCCAAAAACAACAAGCTTTCAGGATCAGACAAATCAGAGGTCCTCTGTTGCTGGTATAATAGTCTGACAGTTTGCGCTGCATGGAGAACACAGCGAAGGATTTTTAAACACCGCTGGCTGTTCTTGTGCCCTGGCGTACTCGTTATAGACGTGCATGAAACAGTGTGTCTGTAAACCAGCATAAACAAGCTGTGTGGAAATAATCCGTGACGCTCGCATGATAATTCTGTCTTTCTACTAAACTTCAGTTTGTGAAATAGTTCAAACTTTCTGTGAATACTTTAATTTGCTTTCTTGGATGAAAACATGGGCACCGCTGTCATGTCAACAAGAGAAAGGAGAGTCCGCTAATTAACTAACTGTAAGAAGCTGCAGTTTGAAGAGGTCACGAACTGGACGTGTGTCTCGGCTGATTGCCCGCCTCCCTCAAGACCGTCGGAAGTTTACTCATCTGACTAGTGGCAAGAAAATGTATTTTCCAAAATTTCACTCTCTCCAGCCACATATTCTCCCGAAATCCCTCTTTGCATGCGAATGTGAAGTCACTTGTGTGTCCACGTTGTCTCTTTTTTTTTTTCTCTGCTGCTCTCGAGAACATGCCAGAAAGTTCCTTCTTTCACGTCTCAAAGTCGATATGAATTTACAGACCCAGAGCAGAACAAATCAGGACAATGAAAAGGTTAAAAGGCGTTTTCATTGAGAGAAACAAGCTCCAGCCATTCTTTTAATCCTTGCTGCCAATGAGAACAGAATCAAATGCTCCGACGGGTCCTACAGTCCTAAAAGAGACGTTTGAAATGTTTTTGTTTGTTTTTTTATTTTATTTGGACCAATTATGGTCAAGTACAGATTTAGATGTTTTGTTTTTCCATGCAAATGTTTTCATGTGTTGCACTTTATACCACTGTTTGCAGTCATGTCAGGATCCACTGTAACAGTCGTCATAGCCTTGTTCCTGTTTTCATTTAGCTCCCACTAAGACTGTCAGTATTTCACTGTGGTGACTCCGTGCGGTGGGTTTTGCTCAAAGGACGCATTGAAGGTTTTGCATCCGTTTCTTTTCACACTGCGTCGTTAGGAGTTTAGTAAATATAAACCGCTTTTCTGTTGATATGGATCGTGGATTACAATAACTTTAGCGCTGACAGCTGTAGTGCTGCTGCTGTGTGGAATGCTCACATTATATGATGCTATAAAGTGACCTTTTTAGTATCTTTGAACCTAGCTGGACACTTTGAATTTTGGTGTTGAATTTCAATTTCTAGGAGCAAATGATTTCTATTTTTATATGTGCAAAAAAAAAAAAAAGGCAGTGGCATGTACTGTAACATGAACCTAAAGCTCTATTGATTGTTGGTTCAGTCGTATGAAACAATAATAAATAGTTGTAAAGATGCCTCAAGAGTGCGGTTTCTTCACACTGCAGACAAAATGCAAATGAATGCTGCTCATATCCATTTTGGCTCTCGATTGTGGCTCCCGCTGTCGTCATGGCACCCAGGAGGGCTGCAGGATAAATGTCAGGACTGGCGAGATGGATAACGGAATCGGAAAGGAGGTAGAAATTCTGCGTCACAGTGTTTTTTCATTTCAGATTTCCTCCACTGGCCTCTAAAAATGATTCAAAGTACTATTTGGTGGACGTACCCGGTGATGAGGACCATATGTGTTGAAATCTTCAGGCTGACTTCTACACACTAGATTAGATTACATTTCTTGTAACCTTTACAGATTATTATTACCATTAAAAAAAAAAGCTGGTTTATGCAACATTTACTACATTCACTCTCTGTAGAGATCACCACATCCTAAGCAGTGATTTTGAAAACCACCATGTTGGTATTGTCACTTTGCCAGCCTATTCTGTAGAACATATTAGTCTGTCTGCACCACACTATCATTCTGTTTAAGGGGATAAAATGTTGAAGCTTGTACGGTGGCCGACGGGGCAAATAGCGTGCATGTACACAAACAAGCTGCATATACCTGAAAGCATTGCATAAACAGAAACGCACTGCAAAAAGAAAACCCTGCGTATCCAGTCACACAACAGAAGTGCCCCAGGCCTCTCGGGGCAGTTTTTAAGTCTGTAGCTTTTCAGTCACTGTGATGCTAAAGTGGTGTTTTACTACCGTCTCCCTGTGTTCTCTCTGTTATTTATGTTTATCCATGGAGATGAGAGAATACAAACCTTTTCATACAGCTTTCCCATTAACTAGCATTACTTGTCTTGCTCAGTCGTCTGCCTCTCAGGTGAAAAGCTCACTACTGCCCCTAGAGGCCTGTGGCACTTCCATTGTGTGACTGGATATGCAGCATTTTCTTTTTGCATTGCTTTTCCTTTTGCAGCAGGTTTCTGTACATGCAACCCTTTCATGTATATGCAGCTCGTTTGTGTATATGCACGTCATTTGCCCCTGCCGGCCACCGTAAGCTTGTTTGTATTTCTTTAAAACTGATCACAGTTGTTGTGAGATGCGGCTCCAGTGTTCCATCAAAACAGTGACAGGCTGAATTGTTGTGGTTGAACCTTTGCATCCACAGAGATGGATAATAATAAATGGATAAAATTTTTTAAAAAACTAGCAGAGCCGCCTTACTGCAGGATCCAAGTCCTTCAAACTTCAAATTTTCCATGCACTCGGTTGCTGTTCTGGAGGTTGCTGTGATGATACTCACCTATCACACACAGCAGCCATGTCCTTAATTTTGCGTAACTTTAGGCATCCTCCAGGGCTGAAAAATTAGGCCAAGAAATGTCAGAAACTGCAGTTCTTCAAACGGCCACTTGGTGCTGCTCCAAAAGTAAATCAATCCCCATTGGCCCCTGTGTTATAATGTCAAACTGTACAGCAGAGTTAAACATGTTTACACAGAAACAGGTTTGGTCTTTATAGTTAATTTCTTCGTTCATGGCAACTGTACAAGGAGTAAATTGTTTTACAACCTACCCATTTAAATGATATTAAGGTTTAAAGTTGTGCTTAACTGAAGCCCGCATGACAGCTGGGTGCCATCAGAGGACAGTCCATGACCCAGACACATTCGCATGGCTCACCTCAGCTCCACTCACTCTCCATCTTTTATCTGGATTAGCCAGGAGTTAAAAAGAATCAGGCACTGCCAAGATAACAAAGTCCGGAGCCACCACAATGAGGATCAAAACGGCTTCTCTGGAAACCCATGGGTGAGGTCATGGAGGGTTCATCCATCAAAATGTACAGTCAGGAGCTCCCACTGGCTCCTTTGTCCTCATCTCCTCCTCCATCAGACCGCATGGACCACGAGGAGACTTACTGAATTTGACAGCTGTATTTTGGGACTAGAATCGCAGACTCTAATGTTAACTGAGAAATAAATGGATTGAACATGGTTTAATTCAAACCCAGGTCGCCAGTAATAACAAGCCACCCTTATATCAGAATTCCCCGACTACATAGATGCAATTGGAGTCACCAGAGGTGTGCCTGATGACCATAAACAAAAATGTG